TGGCTCTCCTGACAATTGACTGATTGCTACATTACTCTCCGTACACTCCCGCGGCTTGTATTGTTACTCTACCGCGCATCCTCCCACCCTATACGCTCCTTCTCTACATTGTGCTGTGTTTTACTGCGCCGCAGCTTCTCTCCTCGGGCACCGAATTAGTGTCGCCACGCAATCGCAGCTATTCACCACACCGCCGAGACCAGTGTTTGAAGATACACCGCTGGACACATATAAACGACCCTCGCCTGTCCCCTTCCTACGTACCGCAAACAACCCATCGCCGAACATCGACTTGATGTCTACAACTACCACAATGCCCGGCCGCACCCTTCCGACGATTCCGACCGCCGAGGTGCGCGCGCACAACAACGAGAAGTCCTGCTATGTTACAATCGGCACCAAGGTCTACGATGTTACCGACTTCCTCGATGGTCATCCTGGTGGCCCCGAGTTCATCCTGGAATATGCGGGCAAAGACATCGAGGCAATCCTGAAGGACGAGATCTCACACACCCATTCCGATTCCGCATACGAGATTCTTGAAGAGAACTTGGTGGGCTTCATGGTCCCCGAAAATCTCCTGAATGGCGCAGTAAAGAGCTCGAATCCTGCAGATATCGTGCCTCTGCCATCTTCCGAGGTTGGCAAGCTGGAGCTCAAGGGCATGGAACAGGACGGCAAGCCGCTGTACGAAGCAACCGGCATGTCATCTGCAGAAGATCTTTCAAGACCGACGGACCCGAACCAGGACTACAAGCAGCACAAGTTCTTGGACCTGAGCAAGCCGCTTCTGATGCAGGTCTGGAATGGTGGATTCAGCAAGGACTTTTACCTACAGCAAGTGCATCGCCCGCGCCACTACAAGGGAGGCGACTCCGCGCCGCTGTTCGGTAACTTCCTGGAGCCCCTCAGCAAGACGCCGTGGTGGGTCGTGCCATCGCTCTGGTGGCCCTGTGTCGCGTACGGAACAGCCGTTGCGTTTGGTGGACTATCCTCCGCGACGGAACTTGCTGGGTACTGGGTCTTTGGGCTGGGATTCTGGACCATTATCGAATACGTCCTGCACAGGGGATTGTTCCACTTGGACGAGTAAGCACTCCCCATCCACATGGATTCATCTTGTACTAACAACAAGCAGCCACCTCCCCGATAACCGCGTCGCGATCACCCTCCACTTCTTGCTCCACGGCATTCACCACTACCTTCCCATGGACAGATACAGGCTCGTCATGCCACCTACACTCTTCGCTGTCTTGGCGGCACCGTTCTGGAAGTTCGCACACGCGATCATATTCTGGAACTGGTATGCCGCTCTGGCTGCCTACTGTGGTGGTATCTTTGGCTACACCTGCTACGACATGACACATTACTTCCTCCACCACCAGAAGTATGTATACCCATAGATCACTATGAAGGACCTCGCTAACAAACTGAAGGCTACCTCCCTACTACCAGCAACTCAAGAAGTACCACCTTGCGCACCACTTCGCTGACTACCAAAACGGTTTCGGTGTCACCAGCCGCTTCTGGGACCGCATCTTCGGCACCGAGCTTGAGATGGGACCTTCCAAGGTCATCAAGTCCACTTGAATGGCGACGCACGAATAGACTTTTGTTATTAGACACCCACCTGTCACCACGTTGTCAAGACCGGCATTGAAGAAGGCGTTCAGCGGGTCTGCAGGGCCATTTTGGGTCGATGCAGCTTTGACGTTTGTAGATAACTTTATGACTCACTACCTCAGATAATAGTAATGCCAACAATCACTTCACTTCTGTTCCCCATTCTTCAGTCACTGCTCATTTCCCTGTTGCGCTCACGGCGGCAGTCACGTGACTTGCTGCCTATTAGTCACGCGCGGACCCTGCCAAGGCCTCTCCAACTTTTCAAGGTATCACGCCCAGGCCTGCCTCTCCACTTTCCACTCACCCACCCATTAACACGTCGTGCTGCACGAGCAAAGCTTCAATCAAGCACCCATTTGTCAAGTGCACCTCGGTCAAGAGGTCATTCGGCAAGCGCCAGCAGTATTATTCTCTACGTCCGTTCGATATCGCAATTGAAATCAATACTTGAGCCCCAGCTCGCCATCACAACAACACATCGCCCATTGCAGTGACATCGCGCATCACTTCCACCAGCTACGCTTATCGAGAGCTAGGAACCGCCACCGACGTCGCCATGTCTACCCAAGCCGCAGTCGAGGCCCTCCTCGAGGAGACCGCCCGCGAGGTCGAGATGAAGGACGCCGAGCGCAAGCGCACTGCCAGCAGCGAGGCGCGCGACACCGACAGCCGCCGCGACGACCGCCACTCAGATCGCCGTGACCGCCGTGATAGGAGCCGAGACCGTGGGGACCGTCATCGTGAGTCCAATGGAGATCGCCGTCGCAGCCGCGATAGAGACCACCGCCGAAGAGACGGAAGCCGTCCCCGTTCTAGCAAAGGTGCTGACACAGATGAAGACCGTGATAGGCTCCGCCGCAGCAGCTCGCGCGACCGCCGTGGAGGTCGTGGAGGCCGTGACCGCGGAGGCGACTTCTACAGCGGTAGCGGTCGTCCGCGTTCCCGCTCCCCTCGCGACCGCGGCAACGACAGGTACCGTGAGAGGTCCCGCGACCGTCGCCGCAACGGTGGTGATGACCGCCGCAACAGCCGTCGCAACAACACCCCGCCCAAGCCAGAGGTCACCGAGGACGACCGCGACAAGCGCACCATCTTCGTCCAGCAGATCTCCCAGCGCGCTGAGATGCGTCACTTGCGCAGCTTCTTCGAGCGTGTCGGCCCTGTTGTCGAAGCTCAGATCGTCAAGGACCGTGTTACCGGCCGTAGCAAGGGGTGAGTACTCACTTCTCCATTCCTCATATATACATGTTAACATCAGTCCAGCGTCGGCTACGTTGAGTTCGAAGCTGAAGAGTCTGTCCCTCTTGCACTGGAGCTGACTGGCCAGAAACTGAAGGGCGTCCCCATCATTGCCCAGCTTACTGAAGCCGAGAAGAACCGTGCTGCTCGTCCATCCGAGGGCGGTGCTGCACCCGGTGCCAACGGCGCCCCCTTCCACCGTCTCTACGTCGGCAACATCCACTTCAGCGTCACCGAGAAGGATCTCCAGGAGATCTTCGAGCCTTTTGGTGAGCTTGAGCAGGTCATCCTCCAGCGCGATGAGTTGAACCCAGGTCGCTCCAAGGGATATGGTTTCGTTCAGTAAGTCGTCTGTTTATGTTCCCTGCGACATCATTTGCTAACACATCACAGGTTTGTTGACCCCTCGCACGCTAAGAATGCTCTCGCAGAGATGAACGGTTTCGAGCTCGCCGGCCGCCAGATCCGCGTTGGTCTCGGCAACGACAAGTTCACCCCCGAATCGACCGCGAACCTCCTCCGTACATTCACCCAGCAGGCTCAGTCCTACCAAGGCTCTGCCTTCAGTGGTGCTGGTGGTCGTGGTGCCTATGCTGGTGGTACTGGTGGTGTCTTCGACCGTACCCATAGCAAGGACGACCGTGGTGTTAGCGGTGCCTCTGCTCTTGATGACTCTGATGTCGCTGGAGTCAACTTCAAGACCTATGACCGCAGCAGGCTCATGGACGCTCTCGCTCGCCGCGACGTTCCCGGAGACTCCAGGCAGGGTGGTCAGGCTATGCCTGTTCCCACCACTCGCAAGGCTCCCGCTCCTGCCCCCGCCGCTCCCATGGCTTCTAAGTGCGTCAAGATCGAAAACGTCTTTGACCCTGACGAGTAAGTCCCCGCATCTCCTCTTAGACATTCGCTAACACATTACCAGGGAACAGCGCAACTACGGTGACAACTGGAACAAGGAGCTCCAGCACGAGATCAAGTCCGAGTGTGACAAGAAGTACGGCAAGGTCGTTCACATTGCTGTCGACGCCAACAGCGAGGGTGACGTCTTCGTCAAATTCGACTCCGTCTCCGGCGGTGAGAAGGCTCTCCAAGGTCTCAACGGTCGTACCTTCAACAGCCGTACCATCCGCGCTTCCTACGTTGTGGACAAGATCTACAACTCCCTCTGGGGCGCTGCTGCCAGCAGGTTTTAACCGACCGGTACGTCACAACTGTCGTGGGGTGCTCGGTAGCCACTACTGCCGAGCATGCCCGATCACTCATGTGCACAGTATACCTTGATCGGTTCTTACGGTTTCTTTACGGCTCATTCTCTCGGTTCACTCTTACGGTTTCTACTCTCGGCACACTCTCACACCTCTGGTACGTACGCATGGCGTTGACAGTATGATACGACTCTCTTTCTTTCATCTGCTTGTTCTTCTTTTTGAGCGTTGCTTTTCAGGCTATGCTGGCGAAGGTGTACAACGTGCAGTGCTTGGATGGTGGAAGCTGCGTTGTCAAGATCAATATGAGGGATGAACGAACGTTCAGAGGTATGATGGATGAAGGTCTTGGTGGACACTGAAAGGATAAGGTCTCGATGGATGACGGACATGATTGTTTAGGCGGACGATGGGCGAGAGCTTGTATATGGCGTGGAACATGGCGGTGGAGGAATACTTACTTCGGTACGTTCTGTGAAAGGACTTCGGTCTTGTTCAGATCTTTCACTTGGTCTCAGGTCTCCTCACAGACGATTGCGCATGCATCAGCGGCACTTAACACGGAAGCGGAGGACTCATGGCTGCTAATAGCACATAGGACCAGCTCGTCTCTTCCTGTCTTCCTGGATGACTTGCCTGCCAATAATCATGTGTTAAGATACTCTTCTTGGATTCCTCCCTCGTTGCCATGGCCTATTGATGTGGAGATTGAGCATGTGGATGGGATGCGTCTGGCTGTGGTTGTGGTTTGACCCTTCTCCGCTGCTGACCATGTTGTTGCCTGACGTCGTGATAGGTTTCGATTGTATTGTTCTTTTGTGGCTAACTAGACTACCGGCCCGTCATCTTCGCCCGCCTTGCACGATCAGCTGCTCATTCTTTACGAGCACGATCTAGATGCCATCCAGAGCGATGGCTGTACAATACTTGCTATCCCAAGATGATTTCCTTCCACTCGTCATCTGCGAGCGTGAACGCCGCTTTGAAGACTTTGCCAAGAGCTACACGACGATGAATACCTTCATCGGGGAATGGTTCTACTAAGAGCACAAAGTACAGATCCCATTCGGAATCAACCCTCTCCTTCGGCAAATAATACGTCCACACCGGAAACTCCTGTTGACTGAATGACTTGGCATCGGAAATGGCAATGAACTCAAACGTAGTCTGGCCAGTGGCTTCGTATTTTTCCAGCCACTCTTTGTTGACAATGACGGACCCGCATTTATCGCCGCGCCGGTCTGTGATGTGGCAGCGAGCCCTAGTCGCTCCAACATCGTCTCCTTCAAAGCCGGTCTCATTCGAGCGAACCACGTGAAAAAAGGCTCGCCAGGTATAGAATTGTAGGAATGGCTGATCGGGAAACTCTTTCAGTCCACCAATAGGTTGACTGGCTGCTGTTATCCTTACGTGGTAGGGATCCTCGGGTAAGGTGAGATTGAACTCCAGCTGCTTTCTGTACTGTATTGCGTCCAGTGGACCACCTTTCAACGGCCGCCCGTAACTGTCGTAAGCTCCACGGTTGGCCTCTCGATCTAAGGTACGTTGGCTGTTTATGCGCTTCAGGCTCCTGCTACCAAAGCTGTTCCCCCTCAGACGATTCTCAATGCCTTCTGAACGAGTTCGCCGAAGATTGCTGTTGTTGTCATGAAGATCAGTCACGCTTGGAGCAGACCCTGTATCGCTCTTATCGTCGTTCATACTGGGGTCAGGAATAGTCGACTCATCAGCTGGCCTTACTGATGCGTTATACCCCGTCCATTTCTCATCAATGCTTCGATCCGCGACGGCGTTCTCCCTGTCCCATAGGCGACGCAAAGTCCCATGACCGTCTCTAATGTGCCAGTCAATCCATGTGTGATCCAACAGCCAAGCATGGACATCGGAGAGACAACCGTCAACCATCTGGGGTTTGTACTGGATTCCATCGCTCTTCCATCCACACCAAGACCAACTTGGGAACTTGATGTCTTTGTACTTTGGCTCTTCTTTTACCCGATTGTAGTCCAGCAGGGCCAAAAGGTCGACGGGCTCCCACAAGAGGGCGAGGTCAAAGTGCGATGTCGGAAGCCCAAAAGCAAAAGGCGCTTGCATTGTGCCCTCCATTAGCTTGCACATTCCACTGAATGCAGCCAGGATATCCAGCGGTTCGTAGAGCTCGCGCAATGTGTAGAGGTACACGCAGTGGGCATAAAACCACATGCTGCGACGCTTAAGCTCCGTGAGCATCTGAAGAGGAGCTTGCACTAAATCCAGCGACCAGCCTCTACCTCTTCCGTCTGCAAATATGTCTTCGGACATGCCAGTAGAGCGACACTGAAAATAGATCTGGCCTCTGGTGAAGATCAAGCACCGCTTGGAGAGCAGCCTTTCCTGGAATGTCCAAGCACGTTTGTTCCATTTCGATGTCTGGATGCTGATCTCAGGCGGTTGATGCAGGATCAGGTGCACACCTTCTGCATAAACTCCGATTTGCTGTTGAGGCCGCTGGTCTTCGTCAAGAGCCAGGAGACCACTTTGCGAATCACCGTCCGCAGCGCAGATCGTCAGTGTCGCATTGCCGTATATGAGATGCATAGCTCGCGAATTGAGATTCCACGAGTGGCTGCTGTTCTGCACAATACAGAGTGCGTCGATCCAAACGTATCTGATACCCAGATCATGTACCAGCCGAATACTCTGTACAAGTGCTTTTGGTAGCTTCCGGATGGTGGCAGCGAGGCCACCAGATTTCCTTCGACTCTGGATGTTCTCAATCTTCGTTCGGTAGTCCATCCTACCGGTATCTCCCCAAACATAGCTGACAGCCGCATACGGCTCGAACTGAAGACGCTCTTTCGTCTCGTCGAACGGCAAAGGAACGAGGCGGTCATTCTCGATGTCGATAACGCCGAAGTATGGCTCCATGAGCGTTTCGAGAAACGGGTTCTCGATGCCAATCTTCTGGGTACATCGACGATCATGGTTCGTTTCACACAGCCTCAAAAACTCGCGAATGAGATTCTTTTTGTTCTCCGTCGCGCCGAAGCGGCGGCCAAGAAACTGCGTCTCGCGATTCAACTGCTTGGGGTAGTCGAGATCGGAGTTCGCGTATTTGATGGGTGCTGCTAACACCAAGTAAGATTCGAAGGCCTTGAGCAACGTATCGCTCCAGGTGACTCTCAGGCGACGGGTCCGCTTTTCTCCTAGTGCACGTCTGGGGTCAACGGACAAGCGTCCGTCCATCTCCCACGTAAGATGGCAGACTGCCCTGGTAGCGTCGACGTCTTTCAAGACGTCCTTTCCGATGGAGTTTACGACGAGGTGACATAGCGGACATGTTGCTGCTCTCTCGCTGATCTTATCAAGAGTCCCCAGACGGAATCGCTCATTGGCCAACCGCAGGGAATCGAGCGACGGGCGAATCTCAGCTGCTTTGTCGTCTTCAATTACAAACTTCTCGATGCTGAGATTGAGTGATGCGCATTCCTTGCACGGTCGCTCGATTCTGTCCGCGGCCGTGCCGTTTTCCGCGGGACGGTTCGGTATCGACCCTTCCATTGGTGGCTCGAAATCGGTCGTCATCACCCAGGTGAGGGATCTGATGTTTCGCGCCTCACAATCGAAGTTCAGAGGTTGTTTTCAAGGCTAGCCTTACGCCGACCTAGGAACAGCCCGAACACGATGCAGTACTTTGCAAGTTTTTGTTTTGTTGTGTTCTGCAAACCTGGTCAGCCTTTTGCTTCTATGAGGTGGCCTTGAGATTAGTACCAATACTGTTGCTAATCCGTTGGACTCTGCCGCTCATCAAGACGAGCTTGATCCTGCTAAATTTTGCATCAGAAGTCAAAGCACGGCTTTTGGACGGAGCGCGAGAAGGCTCGCCAATGTGTAGCTGAACCGCCGTCACTCAGCTCCCACCCTGGCGACCAGCTGCTTTTCTCTCAGCCGCACACATTAGGCGACGCATATACGAGAGCGCTGCAGCAGGCAGAATCAGGCGAACGACATCCAAATAGGGTATTCAGAAGCAGACGCAGCGTAGTCTTTGCAGTGCAGCATGCGTCGCCGACGAACATGGTGGGTGTCTCTCCCGCTTGATTGGACCACGTTCGTTCTTCGGGACGGTCCAGCCGCACCCGCTCACATCAGTGTTAACAAGAACATATGCATGTCGAACGCGTTCCCGGATACTAAGAAGTTGCAGTATGCATGCTGGTTATTTAGCCACCTCCTCTTCTGAGCTGAGTCAATCTGTGCACAGGTTAGACTGTGTCCCACACCGCGGGCTCCAACATCACCTATGCGAACCGAAGCGAAGACGCTCGATAGACTACTGCCGAGCCCTTACTATCTTACTTGTTACATACTCCATCTACTGCTCTCCTCTATTATGATACTGTAGTATCTTCCTTTACCCACGCAGCTTTGCTTGATTGATATTTTTCGCCTATATTAATGTCAAAACCACCCATTCTTTCACATACGACCATAGGACAATGAGAATTAGGCTTCCCGTCCGCTCAGCCATATACAAGCATTGTACCGGCGGATTAGTAGTTAGGTGGGTGACCACTAGCGAATCCCCGCTGTTGTATGTATTTTGATCTTTTTTGCCCATCTTTTTTGCCCATGTCCGGGTCGGGCAGGTGGACCGACGGCGAGAACAAGTTTAACTAGGTTGGAACAACAGAAGACATGACCCTGTCTACAATCTAAAAACACCTTCCATAAGATCATCAACTACGCTGTCTCGCGCGATCGCAATTTTTGTGTCCAAGAGCTGCTCAACTAAGTCGTCCATCTCTGCATCTTCATCGGGCGTGAGTCTGTTCTGCTCCTCAACTCCAATGTCTTTGCGCACAACTCTCATCTCCCAAACCCCTCCCATCGCGTCTCTTCTCTGTCCCAACGCCTTGAACCCCTCAAGGTACTTGATCCGAAAGACAGACCTCTCGCCATCTTCATCGGCTGCTTCGCATGTCCTACCTCCCTGCGCTGCGGCTTCTAACACAGCCTCATACGTCCAAAGCTGCACATTCGTTTCCATATCTTCCGTCAGTCTCCGCGCACCCGAGACTTTCTTCCGCTCTTCGAGGTATCGCGGGTATTGGCTGCGTGTGCGATCTTCGATGCACACGGGGCAAATGAATGAATGGGCATGTAGGTTTTCTTGTCGCTTGAGCCAGGCTAAGGGGAGTTGAGGCTTCGCGGAGTAGATACTGCGCGTGCAGTTTGTTGAGCATGGCGACTTCGGGGCAGGGAAGCATACCGGTGAGGAAGGCGAGGACGGCGGCTTGATGATGTGTTCGCAGTCTAGAGTGTGGAGGGGGGTGGACGGGTCGTCGCAGTGGTTATGGGGCGGCGGCTTGGTGAGCGCCATGGCGGAGTGCGATATGTGTTGGTTAGGTAAGTCGCGGGTGGGAAGAATTTGGGGTTAAGTGTGAGTGAAATGGTGGGCTGCAGTGATGAGATTGTGGAGATATGATGTGGACGGACATATGGGAGAGGCGTCCAAGTGCAAGTGACGTCTTTCTCATCCCTTCCATTATTTCATAGGCGGATTCAGTCATCGTAAATGTCGAGTGTGTTGCGGGAGTCGTGAAAGTGCATGTGAGATTACAGCTATTTGAGAACTGTCGTACCATCGACACACAATGACCACCTTCATTGAAGGTGCAGTGCATCCGCTACCGTCGTATCTTCCTTGGCTACCGGAGCCCCAAGTCCCTCTTTCTTACCAGGCAGTCCACATTCCAACAACCTCCTCCTCTTCGCATTTTCACAACCCGTAACGGTAAACACCAGATCCCTCCCCATCGTCCGTCTTGCCTTCATATACATCGCTGTCGCAACAGCCTGCAGCATACGCGCAACGAACGTTACCATGTGTACTTCTTCATAACGCACATCAAATTCGACGCGTTCGATAGAATGCCGCTCTGGAATGCAGCGGAACGCTTCGCGCCAGCTTTCGACGATCGATTCCATCAATAGGTAGGGGATCTCATGTGTGACATGATTGAGTTTGACTAGTTCAAGAACATCGTTGCTGTAGACATAGGGGGAGATCCAGATGCGCAGCGCTTTGATCGCAGTGCTGGGAAGTAAGAAGTGGTCGTCGGTGGACTTGCGTGAAGACTGCGGCTGAAGGATGGGAATGTTGGTGTCGCCGGTGGCTAATTTGGTACCGAGGATTGAGAGGGTTTGGGGATCGTTGATGGTGATGAGGAAATGGGGTGAATTCCCAGCGGCGATTTCTGGGTCGAGATCTGGACATTCTGACGATATGGTGAGGGTGTCGGGCTGCTCGGAATCTGTTTTCAGCTCGAAGGAGACTGGCATCCTTGCGAAGTGCTGATTGCTCAAGATGAAGTCAACGAGGCAAGATGTGTAGACGTGTGAAAGTTGATGTTGGTGTCGATGCTTATAACATCTCGTCAAGTGGTGTTGACCGTTTAGGCAACCATTCAGGCGGCCAATGAGCGTGGCTGTGTTCTTTGCTACTAGGAACACCTTACCATTCCCTCTGACTCTTCGAGTTATTGGTCTCTAGTGCTGACACACCCGGATTGTTTGTCTCTAGTGCTGATACACCTAAGTATTGCTGGAACAATATAAAGTTCTATAGGCGTTCACTTGCCGCAAGCATCGGTCATATCGTGGAACGCATGCTTGTCACGTCGCAAAGCAAGTAGGCACAACCCGCAATCAGTGTAGAAGAAGAAGTAACATGGTTACGTCATCTCTCAGCCACTCATTACCTAGCACCCTAGGTAGTCGCGCCCACCCGAGCTTCACGATACCTTTGCCAAGAATCGAGTGGTATGGCTATATACTATACCACCATGTGAACACCACATCACGAAATCGTCCGAAGACGCTATGTTACGCTCAGTATTCGCTGCGTATACATTGCGCAGTCTGAAATCATGGCGGGGTGAAGACTGCGCGGTTGCTATTGTGCGCGGCTTGCCCTTCACTAATCACGGCTGCGTGAGTATCGCCAATTCAAGAGCTCACACCCAACTCACCCTCACTTCTTGGCGGTGAATTCTGAGTATTCAGTCCTATTGTCGTGAGATCGACTCTTCTCTCTTGACTCACTCGACTTCGCCTGACTTACAGTCCAAGCTACCGACCACCCACCTACCGCGCAATCCAAATCGCGCTTGCCGCCTGCATCATCCTGTATCCCAACGTGTTTTCTTCATTAGCACTCATGTCGTCGTCCGTCGCCAGACAGTTCGGCAACATGCTCAACACTCGGTGGTCGCTCCCAGAGAAACCCGCTCCGTCGCCATCCACCAAGCAAAAGACCGACTCCAAGCAGAAGGCCGAAGCCATACACGAGAAAGTCGTCTACCCACGCGTCATAGGATTACGGGACGCGGACTCATGCAACAATGCATCCATGTCCTACGAGCACCTTCTCGAATGCGGCCACCTCATTACTACACCCAAGCCTGACGAGCGATGCGCACCCAATTGCTACTGTGTCAAGCACGGACGGCACGAGATCAACGGCGACGAGGAGAAGAAGGCGAACATGATGCTGTTCTACTGCGACGCGTGCGTAGAGGAGGAGAACGAGAGGCTCGTGGCTGATACCTTGACATCAACGGGGGCAGGTGAGTTCACTTACGGGCAGTAACGCTCACGATGACGCTGACCACTTGAAAGAGAACCTGCGTCGTACTCTTCGCGAGAAGGCAGCCATCAAGCGCGAAAAGCAGACCAAGTTCCGCAAATGCTATATCGCACTCAAGATCACATCCGTGCCTTGCCACACCGACGGCGCACTACGCAAGAGTTATACGCCGCGCAAAGAGCATCATCCCTTCGATGTTTCGATCCCTCGAGTAGGCGACAACTTCTTCGAAGACATCCTGGTGAACCCGGTGGAGAAAATGAAGGCGCCTGACAACACTGTCGCGACCGCGCCCGAAGAAGCAAATCGCCCCGTCGTCGGCAGTAGCCCAGCCAACCTCGGCGAAGCCGGCGAAAACTACCTGCGATACACGGCAGCGCGATCTGCAGCACCCAAGGCCCTCAAAGCCACGCCGAGTGCCTCCAACGCTAAGAAGACCGCGTCGCTGTCTGCTCCCCGCGAGGCCGCTGCAGCATCACCGGTGGTACCAAGCACCGATGTCGCACAGAAGATATCACCAAAGCAGTCTCGCAAGAGGCCCATCGTCATCGACGACGATGAGGAATACGTGGACGCACCGGAGAAAGAAACAGAGGTTGTCAAGAGAACCAGGAAACGACAAAAGGCTACTTCATTGCCGCTGCCGGTGCCAGCTACCCCGAAGAGGAAGCCAGGGCGTCCTAAGGGAAGTGGACGTAAGAAGGTGTGAGGGGTTGGCGGATACAGGTGGTGGGAAGTCGTGAGGATGTGGAGGTGATGATGAGGTTGGAGAAGACAACGACAGGGTGGATGCTGCTATGCGATGCCTGGATACTGTCGTATTTGTCGGGCTGGTATTCTGGTATGGGTATATACTGAATGGAACATGTCGTTGATAATACTTTCGATGAGAATGTGATGAAGAAGGATGGCAGATGGCCGCGGGGTGCGATGTTGCTTTCACCCCACTTAGCCGGCTGACTAATCTGCATCCTGCTATCTCGCCACCCGTCCTCTCCGCAACGTATCAAATGCACGATTGAAGTGTACAGCATGTTTTATTTTGACGTTCATTAACGCAAGTTACATGGTCTATCTCCATGCTCTACTACATCCAATCCAAACCCATCAAACACGAACCTCCTCACGTCGCCCTCTCGTCCTTTTTCTCATACAACAAACACTCACAATACGCCAGTAAGATACAGTATAGATATCGCACAACATACAACACCCGCGACCAAAACTACCGCGATTTCCATGTTCGACATCTCGTCCACGCTGTGGATTCTGATGTTCCGTCGCCCCTCATGTCCTTGCGAAGGGGGACCGCGTTCTAGATCAATCGCATTGCGCTTTTGCTGATCGTATGTGTTAGGGTGGATGGATAAGAAGGGCATGGCGTTGGTATTAGTTGTTGTTTCGCGAGCAACTGTTGAAGTGGCTGATAGACTAGTTGTAGGGGTACTGTTGTCTGGAGCTTATGATATTATGGGTGACATAGTGGATATGGTGAATATGTGACACGATTCTATAGAGCGGCCGGGCGCTGATCAGTGAATTTGCAATGCACCTGCTCGCTGAATTATGGTGTGAACGAAAGGCATGTGGCGCTGCGAGCGACTTGTGCACTATTCGATCGGATGGATTTGGGAAACACACCGCCCCCGCCCCATACCGCGATCTCCAGTCCCCTCACCCTACGACCACTCACAACACACCAGTCCCATACAGTATAGACAACGCAAAACACACACCGCTCACAACTAGAAGTACCGCGATAGTCATGTTCACCCATTCACCTTGCCTGTACATCCCAGTATACCGACGTCCACGTCCATCATTTCCGTGCGAGGAGAAACCGCGTTCTAGATCAGGCATGGCGGGCTCTGGCTGGTCGTGCGGATTGGGGTTGGGGTTGATGAATAAGCTGGCGAGTAGGTGGTTGGCGACTAAGGAGTCGCGAGCAGCTGTTGAAGGGGAGGTTGAAGGAGGGGTGGAGGTATTGTCATTTGGGGTAAGTGTTGAAGGGGTTGATCGATTGGCTGTAGGGGTACTGTTGTCTTGGGTTCGTAGGATTATGGGTGGCATCGCTGTTACTGTGGGTTTGAGTGTAGTGAATCTGCGCGAGATAAGTGTAAAGAATAATCCCGGCGCTTTATAAGTGAACGTGCAATGAGTTTGTTTGCTGCCTGGGTGGATGGATGGAAGAAATATGGTTCTGTGAGTCCCTTCTAGACTACTTGGTCGAGAGTCGTGGAACTGCCGATATGCTTCCATAGACGGCTGCATGGCTCTCACCATGAATCATTCCTCAGCGCCAGACTCTTCGATGTCGTCCACATATTGTCGAGTCGCAAGGGCGAAGGCCCCCTAAGCAGCATATACCACTTTAGATCTTTTGACAGAACGTAGGGTATGTTTTCCAAAGCCGATGAGTCGCGGACGTACTGAGAATATTCCCGGACAGTCGCTGCAGCCTCCATCTTACTACCGACGACCCAGACCTTGTCAAATCCACCTATAATCGTATTTGCAATGACGATGATACCACCACCCACTTCGAGTGACAGGAGGCGATTCTCCAAGGTTTCTGTAAAGACATCCAATGAATTCTCAAGAAAGACAACATTCTCTAACCGAAGTCTGACCGATAGTCGAAGTAACTTCTGGACTGCAATCCGGTTCAACTTCACATTGACGAGGCGCAACGTGTCGAGACTGGAGGTCCAGATCGGACAAAGAAGCTGAGACGATCCCGACACTAACCCTATCTGAGGCGCGGACATGTGAAGCGCGTTGTTCTCTGCTAGCGATCTTCCTGAAAAAACCAGATGCCGTAAATTTGGACAGCGCAGAGTATTGGGCATGATGTATGTGTCCTGGGCCAGCCTCATCTTCAAAGAGTCGCTGCTATACGCATTGGACTTGTCGCCACTGTCAAATTTGTATTCCAGGGTAGTGAGATGAGAGAGCACCATGTTTCCGGTGGGAAACCCGACGAAGCCTAGTGTGTTGAAGTTGATGGAGGCTTTCCAAAGTCGCTCGACCTGTCGGTGATCTACGTGTCTTAACAACGCGTAGAAGATGTTCATGGAGTGTCTGCATTGAGCTTTCGCGCAGGTGTACCGTAACGGATAATTTTGAGCGAGGCCAAATGAAGGGAGAACAATGTTGCCTGTATTGTCTCCGCACGGCTTTTGATAGAAGACTTGTTCTGTGGGAAGCAAGTTGTTAGTCTCCCTGAGTGATGTATGCTTCGTGTACGCTCTATCCACGGAAACTGGAAGCATGCTGCGGGTTGGTCGATAGCACACTGTTTCCAAGTTGATGAACTTGTCCATCCAACCTACGCTATTATCTTCCAACCATGTAGACCAAAGATAGGGATCCGTCATCCGGTCGTGTTGACAAGGGCGGTGGAACTCGCGGTCACGATAGCTTAGGCCTGCCCTCTCAAATTCTGCAACTTCCAGTCGTCTGGGCGCCGCATCTTTGTACACTATAGCCCTGACGAGTTTCGCTCGAGCAGGATCGTCAGCGATGCCTTTGAGTATGGCGATGCTCTTTAGATCTGGCGCAAAGCACACAGTGCGATAGAGATGTTTCTGGAACCCCGGTATGTTGCAGGCCTTGGAGGTCAAGAGGAAGCTGATGAAATCGTGGGAACTCTCGTTGTTATCACAAATTACGTACTCTAGCATGGCATCGATAAGCTCGTTCGGAAACGGCAGCCCACTGCGCAGTGGAGTTGCCGGTGAGCAGTTCTCGTCGTGAAGTCGCAGACGACATGGCTGATCGATGACGCGAGTTTGGCTATCGGCCGGCGTGATTGGCCACGGTACCATCCGATCCATATCAGCTATGAGTCGAAGGGGTGTTGAGAGTCTAGGTCAGCATGAGCGACTGATACAGATATATACAGATGCCCGTGTCGCGTGTCGCATGGACCACACCAAACAAACGAACAGCATCACGTGTCGCTAAGCCGTTGTTGCAGCCCTTGTGAGCACTGACAAACCATGAGAAGGTTTACAATACCAGAGCCGCAAAGTTTGCGTCTCTTTTCGGCATTCTTGCTTACACTGAGATACAAAGCGTGCTTTCCTGAGTGTGACGTATGCATACTCCGCACGCGTAGCGACATGGATGTGGCTTGAGTGTGGGGCCTTCGCAACTGGATGAAGTACGCTTAGAGCGCGTACACGCAGCCCCGTCGGCTGGCAATTCGTGAGCCATGAGCATAGCGCTGTATCGCAGTGTTAATCGTTGATCAACTGCCCTGATATGTCGACGCGCACGACCGACTTTGAGCTTCGTGCCGCAAAATTCTCAGATCTTGCTTCGATAGCGACGGTATGGGCAGCGGCATTCTTTGATGATGAGATCATCGGCGAGCTCATGCATCCCCACCGCAAGGAATACCCGGACGACGTATACTGGTTCTTGCTGCGAGGTATTCGACAACGGTTTTGGGACTGGCGACATCGTTTCATAGTTGTGATAGACGATGGAAAGGTCGTTGGTGCTGCAGATTGGAGAAGGCTAGGAAGAGGGGGAGAGAAGTTGGAGTTGGGGCGAACAGATCCACGTACGCCTTCCATCGCGACACTCACTATAGCGTGTGAGCGCGTCTTTTGGCTTACTCTACCTCCGCAGGTAACCTCATCGCGCCACTTGTGAAGGCATACCACTCCACGTCTTTAGTGCTCTTCCCCAATCGCGCGGCTGATCCCACGCGCACTTCCTTCCTCGACACAGCTGTCGCGAACTCTGGAAAGTACTGGACTGGCCATCGCACCGAATGCTGGGACTTGCACGTCTGTGGCGTACACACAGACTACCAAGGTAAAGGTGTTGGAAAGCTGTTAGCCACGTGGGGTGTACGCGAAGCGCACAAGGAGGGCGACGAGGTTGTCGCTAGTGTATTGTGCGGAGAGAAGAATAGAGGATTCTATGCGAAGGCTGGTATGGGTGTTCAGGTTTCGGAATTCAAGGGCGATGGAGGTGGCATCGCGTTGTTCACGAGATAGTTCGCGCGGGCGACGCGTTTCAGCCAATCAGTGTTGCCGGAGTTGTGCCGGCGGCATCGCGTCTTTCGTGACGCGTCTGCGACTACCATCTCTTCCTCCCCATCATATGTAGCGCTTTCCATCATCACATTCATCTCTTGCCCATCGTTAATCGTTCCTTGTGGATCGATGAAATAGCAACCTGTACCGCAATGAAGATGAGAAGGAATGACCGAAAATGCCGACCGCGCGGACCGAGCGTGACTGCCTGGCAGCAACACATAACTGCTGCTAACCGCCGTATTGGATGACTTTCAAACAATGAACCCTTCTCCTCCATCAATCACTCTTATCCCAGGATACACAATATGAGTTTCGCTATTACATTCGCTGCGGGTGTCGTGCTCCACGCTACTGTCTTGGCCAGGCATCGCGAATGGGACCGCCATTCAGCCGCCATCTTATCCTCAGCATGTGTCCTCTTCGCAGCTACAGTCGTAGCAGTTGCTGTTATTCGGAAAGTTTCCTGGGTCTCTTCTTTCGCTTGCGTGGGCGATGTGACCACGGACTTCGTCAGCGGCCTTCTCAGTTCTATGATAGTGTATCGACGATGGCTACACCCTCTCAGATCCTTTCCAGGGCCTATAACTGCACGGAACACTAGCCTATGGATCATCAAGCAAAGCGTCCCTGATCTCGACTTATACGTCAAGATGCGCAGCTTGCATGATCGATATGGCGACTTTGTGCGAATAAGTAGGTTTGGAGAGCATTTAGACGAGTGCGTCGTTGACCTGGTCTAGGGCCACGCGAGATCTCGATCTGCCATCCTGATGCGATAGCGGACGTACATGGACCGAGGAGCAAGATCCTGAAAGGCGAATTCTACGATCAGACCCATCCATTTCATAGCCTCCAATTCATCCGCGATCCGAACCTCCATAAGGAACAGCGTCGGTACTGGGACAGAGCTTTCCATAGACCAGGTCAGTGATCTCCGCTTTCGTTTGCTGCCAAGCAACCAAGGTCGAGCATACACCTCCTTCTGTCACTTCTAGTTCCGCACGATCAACGTCACCAGCTAGCACGATGGAATGTTAGACCACCACAGCTAACAGCTGTAGCATTACTGGGATATGTGCCACGACTTATACGACACTATCGAATCACTGCCAGTATACTTACGAGTCATGCGGCATCACGAAAGCCGATCGACGCCAGCGGTGCCTTTTTAGACCTATTCTTTGATGTCATATCGGACTTGACGTTTGGTCAGTCCTTCGATACACAGACCACGAAGCAGCGAAGTCCGATCATGGCAGAGTTCCTCAGCAAGCAGAAAGTACTTGGCTTCGCCTTGCTGAACATGCCTCTGCTCCACCTCGCTAAGAATCTGCACACATCCACAAGGAAGCAGAAGCCCTGGGAACGTTGGTATGATGAAGCATTGAAGGCCCGCAGTAAGGTAAGTCAGCCAAGCTCTGACCAACTTTCGATCTTGATGCTCATATGCGAAGAAAACTGTTTCGACTTCGGACATATACACATACCTGCCGCAATCTGAGCTCTTCAACGGCAACGCTCTCAGAGAGGCCAAGTTGGCTATCGTTGCTGGCGCTGATACAAACGCTATCACGATGTCGAACATTTGCTATCTACTGTGCCGCCATCCTGGGTACCAGGCGAAGCTCCACTATGAGTTGTCAGCCTTACATTCTCTTTTCCCCGGCGACCATGATCTGACGAACAAACCTTGCTTGGCTGGCATCATCAATGAAGCATTGAGATTGCATCCGCCCGTGCCCTCCGGTCTTCAGCGTGTAACACCCGCAGAGGGCGCAGTCATCGCCGGCCGACACATACCGGGCCATATGAATGTCACAACGCCGACGTACGCACTACATCGAGGTAGTGATCTCTCTCTCTCTTGTTGCAGCTTGAGCTAACCTTTCAGATGCACGCGCGTTCGTTCGACCAAACGAGTTCATTCCCGAACGCTGGTACTCCCGTCCCGACCTCATCCTTCGCAGAGACGCATTCGTTCCATTTGGCTACGGCGTCTACAACTGTGCGGGCAAGCCATTGGCCATGTTACAGTTGCGCATGGTCCTTGCCATGATCTCTCGACGGTTTATCATGTCATTTGCTCCTGGCCAGGAAGCTCTATGCCAGTACTTCATCGATCATCAAGCCGACTGCTTCACGCTTCACCTTGAGCCCCTTCCTTTGCTGTTTGAACGAAGAAGCGTGTGATTATACCAGGGTGGATCTTGTATCGCGATATGGCTGGCACATGACCGCATGCCACACTGGCGAAGATGAAACATTGCTACTGCAGTTTGCTGATAGGTCCAAAACATTCTCCCTCAACCTCCGTAGTTGTAGGTATTCACATGGATTCTTATGAGCTCTCAGGACTGGAAGTGAAATGCTGCATGGGCGGCGAGAGAAAGCTGTCACCCAAATGACCCTGAAGTCAGCAGTTGTGCTCCCCTATGGTTCGCTTCCAACCCACACCCCGTTCGCTACCACTGAATCACAGCACCCCCCTTTTTCCTTCCACTCTCACTTCAGTCCGACTAGCCGATACTATGGGCTTCATGAAGCAAGGCAGCCAACGTCCCCTCGGGAGACGCCAGACTCTACACGACTTGCGAAGGGCAGCGCGCAGCCCAAAGCAACCTGAGAATTCCGACCAGACCCTAGTGCAAGCAACAGACCCCACGCCGGCCCAGGATAACACGTCACGACTAAAGAAACGTGCGAGCACCTTCGGCATCAAAAATGCGCTCACCAAATTACGCATCATCAAAACCAGCGCAGCCCCCGCGGAACCAATCTGGACCCAGTATGAACTCGTCAAACGCATAGGTTCTGGTGGAAACGGCCTCGTAGATCTCTGCTTCGACACCTCAGCCGGCATCCTCGTCGCCGTAAAGACTCTGACCCTCCCAAACCCCGCCGCACCTCTAGCAGAAGCAACGATACTGCAAAACCTAGGCCGCCACGGCAACATCGTCCGATACTACAACAGTGTCCTGAGTCCACCGCATCCCAATCGTCTCCAATTGATTTTCGAATACTGTCCTAGAGGCGATCTACTGGACTACCTGGATACCTTGGATGGCGCCATCCCTGAACTATTCCTATGGCATGTGTTTAAGCATGTCGCATGTGGTCTTGCTTTCCTGCACAGCCGCGGCATCGTACACGGCGACATAAAACCCGCCAACATCCTCCTCACCGCGGCGCGAGAAGGCGAGCGTTTCTCCCTACCCAAGATCGCAGACTTCGGCGCTGCGTCCTGTAACCCTTCACCAGAAATCCCACGAGGCCACATAGGCACACCGTCCTTCCAACCCCCCGAAGCAGACTATCGCCACGGCCCCGAATCCGATATCTGGTCCTTGGGAAGCATGATGCACGAACTGGTACTGGGTCGTGTACCCATGCAGAAAGTGCGGGAGCTGGAGATCGATGCCGAGACTTGGTTTGGGGGGAGTGGACGGGAGATACCGGATGGTGTCGTTGCGCGTGATCTCTATAAGGAGTTTTGTTTCTACCAAGCTGGCCACGTTGTTGAACGCATACGCATCGATTGTCCATCTGAGTATACGACGAAAGTATACAGCCCCCTGCTCAACCACTTCATGATGCGCACTCTCGACCTCGACTGGAAGAACCGCATCACGGCCAGCCAACTGTACGACCTATTACCTAAGCTCGAAGCTATTGTGCAAGATCTTCACATCCTAGGCCAACCTGAACTGCTCGATAACCTCGAAGATCGAGAGGAACTGAATGGTCGAGAGGCCCCATGCGTCACCGACTCCCAGATGCTCCGACAGCTGTTCGAGAGATTGGCAAGACATGCGGATTGGGCGAGTCACCAGGAGATGCGGAAGAGAGGGATGCAATTGTTGTTCCTTATGGACGAAGAGGATCATTTCGCGGCTTTCAGGGCGCTGAGGGATGTAAGAAACTTTTGGGGAATGGAATGGTGAGGTTTGACGGCTGGCGGTGCCAGACGTATACCAAGCGGTTCGAGGACCGCGGTACCATTGTCTTCAGGAGGGACCATCAGGCACACACAACATCCGGTATCAGACGCCTATGCCGCGATGCCGCATCTCAATGCACCGTGGACAAACGTCAGCGAAGCGGATGTTGCTAACGAATGTTTGCTCATTCGAGTTGTAGCAATGGGACTGATTGCATGTTAAACCAATCCCAATCACTCACTAAACTTCTCCTGTTCCAAATATCTATAATCATCCATAGCCGCCACAACCCACCCCTCAAGCCTCCTCCCCTCCACCTCCCCAAACTCTTCCCTCCACTTCCCCCCCATAATCCCCACATCGATCTTGCTCCTCAGATCTCCCCTAATAACCCCCGTCGACCTATCCAGCGTTTCCATAAACTCCAAATGCTGTGGATCATGTGTCGTCTTCGCCGCAATCTCCGCCTTACTCGACGTCGCATTCCAGGTAAACTTAAGCTTCTGCGGGTCCAAGCCAGCACGTTTGCTGACGCTAATAAGCATCTGGGGATTCGCGACGACATCGTCTGCATCGAGGATGATTCCGGTGATACCGAAGGTATGTTTGTAGAGATCGTATAGGGTACGTGTCCAGTGGTAGGTGTTTACCATGGTGGCTTGTTGCAGTACCTTCTCTGGGCTTGAGTCTGAGGCTTTGAGCACGCGGTAATAAGATGAGAATGCTGATGCTGGATGACGGATCACGAAAATGGGATACCATTGCCGAAGAAAGTCGTCGGGAAGCAGGGTCCCATTATACGTCGAGTGTGCGGAGGGAACGGACCACGCATCTTCGCTTCCGAAACTGGTACCAGAATAGAAGCAGTACTGCGCAACGGGATCGGATATTGATATGCTGTGTTCGCGGAAGAACGCTGTCTTGCCCTGGCGTTCGGCTAAAGCGGCGTATTCGGTGACAGTAGCAAGACCTTTTCCGTAATGATCGATCGTTGCTGTTCGTTCTTCTTCTGTCCATTCGCCGGGCTTTCGAACGCGCTCGCCATCGAATTTCAGCTTGATGGCGGGACTGAAACTGTGGCCATAGTCGGGTAGGTCGGGGTGTTGGAGTATGTCGGGCTGAGAGGTTATGTTCAGGATTTTGAGGATGAGGTTCGAGGCGGTGCGTGGGTGAGAGAAGAATGCTAGGCGGCGGGCGTTGTCGGTCGACATGTCAGATGATGAAGGTTGGGTAAGGTTCAAGTGAACGGAGGCGAGGTCTTTGCCCAGTCTTTGTTCTTGAAAAGTTTCCAGGCGCTAATAAATTTATCCACTCAAGATTACCTGGGTATGAAGTACGGTGTAGCGAAACGAGGTGCGGGGCTGTCACACGCGTCAGGCGACTTGCTTTTTATATGCGGCTGCTCGAACGGGAACGTTTGTATGCGTGCATCACGTCACGTCATGCATCCGAATACTGTCGTGATCATATTGAGCCGAGTTCAAGGGCATTAGCCTCGTAGTTGGGTACACATGCTGCTGCTACCTACAATATCGGAAGTGGTTGGTAATTGCACACAAGCCTTTGCAAATTACATTTCATCTCAACAAGCAGGCTCGCGAATCTGCTTTCTTCTTTTATTTACACGTTCACCAAATCCAAGAACTCATTAAGCTGTACCCTGGCTCTGCCATCCTTCTCCGCCCATGCTCGGCCAAGATTCTCGCCAATTCTTACAGCATTCTCACGCTTCCTTTGCCCAGTCTCCGTGAACGCTGCATCAAGGATGGCTTGCACTTCGCGTTCCCAACCACTCATATCGCATGTTGTATCCTCCGTGTTCCCCGTGTTTAGAGGGCAGCGATCAACGCGCATCTTTGTGAACTCGAAGCCAGCGTCTATAGTACGCGCCATGTATGCGATATTGAGGGGCTGGTCGATGGCAAAGGGCCAGCCCATCCTGGTACATGTAAGTAGGCATATTGAATGAGTCTCGCAGTACACACATCGGAACTCCTTGGGTGAGGGCTTCCATGATTCCATTCGCGCCTCCGTGGGTTATGAACCATCCACAAGCCTATATCACCGATGTCAGTATTGTTCATGGAGTCAATGAGAGGAGCTGTGATTCAGACATACCTCATGAGCCAGAATCGCTTGTTGCGGCACGAATGGCGATATGATCGCTTTGCAGCTGTCAAGGTATTTGCTCTTCAGTCTAGAGCTCGTGTGGGCATTCGGATAAGCGTGCGCGAGTATCTTGAAAGATTTTCAGTTGTGCCTTGCCTTTCAGCGTTCTTGTGCTCACTGCACTTACGAAAGGATGATTGCGGGCAACGATGTAGTCTAGAAGAGTCTCGAGGTAATTAAGAGACGACGGCCTAGGACACTACAAATTAGGCCGAGGAAAGAGTGGGCATGAAGCAGACGAGACACTAACCAATGCTCAGTGCCAAAGCTAATGCAGATCACACTCTGCTTTCCGTTTATAATGAGACATTCGTCCAGAAATTGGGTGATGGCGGTACCCGAGCCTTCCGGGCATGTATTGATCTCTATTTCGATAGCTTTGGCAGAAAAGGTACGAGTGCCTCGAATGAGCGGCAACATAGGGCCAAGATGGAACGTCTTCCGGTCGTCATGACTTCCAATCCATTGTGATATAGCATCGAGACATTCCACACTATCGTATTCTGGAGCGCATGCTGTCAAGAGCCCGTCAGCTCGTTCCGCAAATCTGAAACGTTAGCTACTAACAATGTAGTCCAAAATTTGTGCAATATACCTCGTCATTGTGGCCTCCGCAGCATGGATCTTGCTCGCTTTGTCACCCACATCTTCAGGATTCAAATCGCGACACGTCATTGGAGGCATGCCTGGGATTGTGACGCCGTCCTCACAGTCGTGCGAGTCCTGACTCATAGGCTTTCCACTTCTTCCTCCGAACTGTGCCGGCCCGCACATGTGCATGAAGCCTCCTGAAAATGCCATCATCCATTGGAAGACGGGTGGAGATGATTGTTCAGATTTTACAATCTCGAGCCATGATAATTGGAATCCCTTCATTGAGAACGATCAGTCGCGCAGTGTGAACGGAAAGTTAGATCATCCTACATCAAGTACGACCACCGAAGGTCTGGGGACTGCTTCAAGTTCCTTCAACGTAGAGCAGCATCTCACAGGTTTACTTTCCATCAAAGCCTTCCAAATAAGCTTGAACTCATCGTCCAGAGATCTACCCTCTCTACCATTTGATGGCAGACCGATGACCCTACTCCGATGTAAGTATAGACCGACAAAGACATCAGGAAGCACGCGATGCTTCTGCATCACAATGATGCTTACCTCACTTTGCTGGAGTTATCGAGTTGCTCAATATCCGTACATCTTGAAACTTCTTGGGTTACCCTATCGACAACATTACCGGAACTAGCTACCAGTATCGTGACGGAGACGGCTCTTGAATACGCTATCCGCGCAGATAGGATGCACATGGAGCGGAGATGACCTGGTGTTGTGTCAGAATGCTGACAACTTCTCATCTCTGGATTTACGTACTCCAATTTGCCTTACAAGAGAGGACGACATGGCTAGGAGACATGTTGCAAGCGATATTTTCAGGGCCCGAGAAATTAATTTATGTGCTGATGATATGCTGATGATATGCTGATATCGGATCACAAAAGCGCAAGTTGGCGATGACGAACGTGATATGTGCAGCGCTCAAGTATGTTGACAGTCAGATTTGCAGGGCTATATTTTGGCTAGCTAGCGTCCATGAACATGGTTCATGCATTGCCAGCGCACTCTGTACTACGCCCAAATCAGGCATGGTTCGTTGATCAGTATACTCATGAACTTTGATACCGAAGCCTCGCGCTCTCGCCAAATTCTTCACGCCCTCTACCGTCTGTCTGTAACGCCAATGTCGGATGCAAAGCGCTTGCAGGTGGCCATCTGGTAGGTGAAGCCCGAAAAGAACTGAGCGCCAAAATCTCACCAAGACATTTTAGTGGAGGTGGCATCGCTGGGATGACTGTTGCGGCATTGCTGGCAAGATATCCAGATGTCGACGTTCACTTATTTGAGAGCAAGCCAGAGATCCGCGCCATTGGCGCTGGCATCGCAGTATGGAAGAGATTCTGGGATATCTTCGAAGAATACATGGATATGGATGAGCTGTGTGCTTCTAAAGGCATACGATGTACTCCATGGTCAGAAGGCACGTACTGCAATTTCGTTTGAGGACGTGGCAGCCGTAGTCAATGAGTATCTGCTAGCAGCTAACTCCACTCCAGTTCGTGGGCCCGTCCTCCGGAAGTCCGATACACCCTCCGGTGGAACAGACTTCTCGCAGATACCCCATGGACCTAGACTTGTCCCTCGAGATGCCCTTCTGGACATACTTCATACGCACGCCGATACTGGACGATGTCATATCAAAACGAACAAGAAGATGAAGTCATACATCCAAGAAGATTCTGGGAGTCTCACCCTGCTCTTCGAAGACGGTAGCGACTTCACAGCTGATGTGCTCATCGGGGCTGATGGAGTTCATTCACGCGTACGACGGCACATGTTTCTGGGCAACGATGTACTATCTGCACCTCATTTCAGCGGTCAGTTTGCGTACAGGATGAGCTGCCCAAAAGCCGATCTCCAAAAAAGGCATCCCAATAACGTGGCGTTAGACGGGTTCAAAATAGTAAGGCGTCCTCCGAGTGCACTAGCTCATTGACTGATCATGGCGGCAATGCGCGCAGTGGTGCGGAAAAGGAAGACACGTAACCTCGAATACTGTCCGGGACGACATCCAGATGACGGCGTACGACAATGTCTTTGATGCAGACGGGGTGGCGCCCCCTTTCGATGGCCCGTGGGTTGCCGAGGTGCCATCTTCACAAATCGCCGAGCGTTTCGCCGGGTGGGAACCAGACCTTGTCGATCTGCTGCAGGTTCCAACGGCTGCATCGCGATGGGCCGTCCACGTCGTACACCCACTTCCAACCTTCGCAACGGACCGCGTGTGCCTGATCGGTGACGCTGCGCATGCCATGACACCACACCAAGGTCTTGGTGGGGGTCAGGGTGTTGAGGATGCATACATCCTGGCTCGCTTACTAGGGCACCCCGAGATGACGGCGTCCAATGTGCCGCAGGCGCTAAAGATATACAACACCATCCGTCGGCCAGCTTCGCAAACGGTATCGCGGCAGTCGTTGGTGAACGGCCTGACGTATGGGTTCTTTGGCGTGGAAGCTAAGGCACTATCTCTGCCTGAGATAGGAGAAGAGTTGGTTGAGAGTTGCCGGTGGCTGCTTCAGGACAGGGGTGCGGAAAAAGAATGGCTGAAAGCGAAGTCTGCACTCGCCGCCGCGCTGGAGAGATGCAAAGACGACCCGGCTTCCCCCAATCTCCTGCCCGGCACTGGGCATCGGGAAGCGACGGTATGTCACCATGGTTGATGAGGTACTGTGGCCCTCTCGTCACCCGCCGGGCGCTTCATGGCAACCGTTAGACTTAGCGATCTGGGTTTTAGACTAGAAAAAGATTGTGCAGTGCATCGGACTTGTAGATGGTCTTTGGGCACGCAAAGCCTATTGCTGTTTGAATTTTCACCAAAGCTCTCTCACGTACTCGGGGTACGCTGTTTCTTGACACCCCAACTCCACGCCGACACGTTGTCGTGCTTGTAACGACAGCGAGAAAAGAGTCGTTACCATTGTATCGCCTACCACATCACCAGGATGGCATCAAATCAAATTCAGCGCATCATCGTGCCAGATCAGGAACGAGCAAGTCAAGTCCCTAGTGCAGCGACCGTTGGTGCCGCAGTATCAATCCTGCACAGGGACGGGATAGTTGTTTTGGAAGACGTCGTGGACAAAGCTGCCATAGCAAAGCTGAATTCTGTCCTCACCGAGAGATCTGAAGAGCTGGCCAATAATCCATCCACGCATTTCAATCAAGGCAAAGCTACCCGCAATATCTCACAGCCACCGCCTGCTACACCCGAGCTCATGTTCCAATCAGTCTGGGCAAATCCTTTCACAGCAACCATCAGCGCCGCAATGCTAGGGCCAAGCCCACGAGTGCATTACGCCAATGGAAATACAGCACTATGCTCAACTGAGCGACAAACCGTTCATGCAGATCTCGACCACAATCACCTCCGCTTCCCTTTCGCACTGGTGGCGAACTACTATCTCATCGACACATGTCCCACGAACGGCGGCACGGAAGTGTGGGTTGGCAGTCACCGAGACACCAGTCTTGCCGATCATGTCGATTCGCGCGACGCGCCGGGAGGCCTTTCAAGTATTCGGCCAGAACTTGTCAGCGAAAGGCTCAAGGTCCTTCCGCCGGTGCAGATCTCGGTCAAGGCAGGAGATCTTGTGCTTCGGGATGTGAGGCTATGGCACGCAGGGATGCCCAACAAGACTAACGTGCCCCGCATCATGTTAGCTTTTCTCATATTCCCCTGGTGGTATCAGGCGCCCATGAAGATGGCACTTCCTTACGCAGCGCAATCACTGGTGCAAAGATGGACGAGGGAAACAGGGCTGGAATTCGAAATTGAGTGGTTGAAGGAAGACGAGTCACCGTCGAAGTTCTTTGTCACCACTGCCTCGGCGAATGAACATGTAGTGTATGGATGAGGAATGATGAAGACCGGGGGTCCCCAAGATAGCATGCAGTGAAGTGTCATGCACGCCATGCGCAATCAAGACTGAAAGAGATTAATTCCATGCACGACCAATTTGGGCCCCTTCAGTGCCAGTGGACGTGTGAGCAGGCGGGGGACCGAGCTGAGCCAGTATCATTGCCAGGCAATCTGGTGGGGTGTAAGGCCTATTAAGCTAACCTCTTTGGGGGTTACCGTCATCGTCATGAACGCGACTTCAACAAAGAACCACTTCAAGATCAAGATAGATACGCGAGAGAACTACCAAATCATCACATCACCCATTCATACAGAATACAATGGCTGATATCGATGTTGAAGACATCCTTTCTCGACTGACCGTCGCCGAGAAATGCGACATAACAGCTGGTATGTTGAATTGACTACGTACCCAGGTACCAGTCAAGCTCTTCTAATATTGACATGATCTCAGGACGCGACTTTGCACACACCGTGCCTATTTCACGGTTAGGCATACCAGCACTAAGAACAAGTGATGGTCCAAACACGGTGCGCGGTACCCGTTTCTTCAACTCAACGCCAACAATATGCCTACCAGCTGGGCCAGCTCTTGCAGCCTCGTGGGACCGACAGCTCTTGCGTGAGGTAGGAGGCTTATTAGCCGACGAATGTATCGCAAAAGGGACGCATGTTCTGCTCGCACCCTGCGTGAACATTCCACGCACTCCGATTGGAGGCCGTGGTCATGAAGCCCTCGGAGAGGACCCTCTTCTCGCGGGTGTTCTTGCAGGCTACATGTGCATTGGTATCCAAGAGAAAGGAATCATAGCCACGCCGAAACATTTTCTCTGCTCTGATCAAGAACAAGGCTGCTTCAGCATGAATTGCATCGTGACTGAGCGCGCTCTACGAGAGATTTATCTCATGGCGTTTATGTTGACCATCAAGATCGGCGACCCGGGTGCTATTATGGCAGCATACAACAAGATCAATGGTGTTCATATTACCGAAGATGAGCGAATCTTGAGTGGAATCTTAAGGGAAGAATGGGGCTTCCGCGGTCTAGTCATGAGCGATTGGTGAGTAGCTTGACGCTTTCACCCTTGAAAACATGCTTTCGGGAAGACGCAAACGCTGACTTCCTAATGAATAGGCACGGTCTATATGCAACAACAAGTCCAATACGAGCAGGACTAGACCTCGAGATGCCAGGGCCCAGTCAATGGAGAGGCAAAAGCCTTGCACACTCACTCCTAGCCGACCGACTTAGCACGCGTGCCCTTGACAACTGCGTGCGGCGCGTCCTGAACATGGTCAAAGAAGCTGCCCGCTCCAACATTCCTGAGAACGCGCCTGAAGAGCCTTTGAACCGCGAACAAGATCGCAAACTACTCCGTCGCGCTGCAGCCGAATCGATCGTCCTGATGAAGAATGAGAGCAAAGTGCTTCCGCTTGATCCCAACAAACCCATCGCCGTGATAGGTCCAAACGCTGCTATCGCAGCATATCGCGGTGGCCGCATTGCCCATCTGCGACCGTACTATGCAGTGACCCCACTAGATGCCATTACCCAGCGAAGCAAAGGAGAAGTTCGTTTCTCCCGTGGAATATACAACCACAAAGAACGACCTCTTCTCGGCCACCAGCTTCTCACCAAAGACGGCAAATCCGGATTCGACATGTACATCTTCGCGCAGCCACCAACCGTTGCGTCACGTACCCCAGTCGACCAGTACGAGTTCCTCAACTCATGTGGATACTTCCTCAACTACGAGAATATGGATCGTGTCAATGGCCAGAACTGGCACGTGGATATCTCAGGGCGCCTCGTTGCAAGCGAAACAGGGCCCTATGACTTTGGCGTTAGTGTGCAAGGTACCGCGAATCTTTACGTCGACGGGAAACTCGTTGTAGACAATACCAAGGACCAGCAATTTGGCGAAGGCTTTTTCCGCGCGGGTACCGTGGAGAAAGTCGGTACAGTCCACCTCACCAAGGGCGAGACATACGACGTCCTAGTGCACTGGGCTGGTGCGCACACGTCTGATCTCATCAAGAATTCGCCACTTACTTTTCATCCCGGCGGGCTACGACTAGGCGGATGCTACCAGATGGATGTATCGGCTTCAATCCACGCAGCTGCCGCGCTAGCGGGCCAGGTGGACCAAGTCGTTGTTCTGGCGGGCCTAATGGGAGACTGGGAGAACGAGGGCGCGGATCGACCCAACATCGAGCTTCCACAGCACACTGGCGAGCTCATTGAGAGTGTACTGGATGCGAATCCCAACGCTGTCATCTGCATTAGTTCAGGGAGTCCAGTCACGATGCCGTGGGCTGGTCGTACCAAGGCTTTGCTGCACGTTTGGTATGGGGGTAACGAGACGGGACATGCGATTAGCGATGTTTTGTATGGCGATGTCAATCCGTCGGGTAAGCTACCGCTTTCCTTTCCGCTTTCGTTGCGCGACAATCCTACATGGCTGTGTAGTCAGGCAGAGAGGAAGCGTATACTGTATGCCGAAGACGTGTACGTTGGATACCGCTTCTACGACACGATGGAGAAACCTGTACTCTTCCCATTCGGTCACGGCCTGTCATACACCGAGTTTCATCTCTCCGGTCTGAAGCTCGAAGTGAAGGGTTCGAAAGAGAAGGCGGTGATTACGGCGCAGGTCAAGATTGACAACCTGGGTGACCGTGACGGCGCGGAAGTCGTGCAGGTGTATATCGCACAGCAAAAACCCAGTGTTGGTCGTCCGGCGAAGGAGCTCAAGGGATTTGAGAAGAGCTTTGTTGCCAAGCAGTCTAGTACTACAGTCGCAGTTGAGATGGAGCTCAAGTATGCGTTAGGGTTTTGGGACGAAGCGGAAGGTCGCTGGGCTTGTGAAAAAGGCGAGTATGATGTTTTGGTTGGCACGAGCAGTAGAGCAGACTTCCTCCAAGATACTTTGGTTCTTGAAAAGACGTTTTGGTGGGCAGGTCTATAGATGAACTGTGAAACGAATGCTATTCTCATTTCTAAGGAAGCAGGCAAAATGCGTCTGTTCATCAACCCGAAACACTACAAGCAGAATCTATTCAAGCCTCATGACTATCACGACGTTGCTTGATCTTCTCTTCAAAGGCCATACCCATGGGCAATGTCTCATTCAAACCAGCAAGCGTAGTCTTGATAGTTCCCAAAGCAGCTTGGTGGCCTTTCACTACATCGACAAAGTCTGCCGTCGCCAGCAACAAATTGAAGTGCTTCACCCATGAGTCCTCGGCCGCGGATATCTTGAACGATACTGTCATGAGCGGCTTTCCATGACGGTACTTGACGCCGATGAGCCTATTGACGGCATCGAGAAACCTCGGGTCGTCGCGTTCGCCGTATTTGCGTGCTGGCACGCCTAATGAGAGACGGAGATCTCCGGGTCCCAGCATGAGGCAGTCCACACCATCTGTAGCGGCAATGGCATCTGCGTTGTCCATTGCTAGCTTGATTCAGTCAGCACGAGGTGTGACTGCCGTCTCCGCACTGATGACATACCTGGCTCTCGATCTGGCAGATAACTGCGATGTGATTGTCTGCTACTCGATCGTGTGTCAAACCGTGGGGCGCTGTGTCTGTGATGCCAGGCACCAGGGCGCATGGCGATAGTGATCGGTCTCCACCAGAGGTTGCATAGCGACACTTGGACACGGCTTCGGCAGCTTGCTCGGCGGTATCGATATGTGGGAAGATGATTCCTGCAGCGCCTGAATATGGATAAAGATGCGATGATTAGCCTTTGTTGAGAAATACTGTCGCATCATGAATGTGTCGGTCTACGACGGTGCATGTACTATGACAGTCATGCAGCTAAGTGGACATATGTAACATACCTGCATCAAGCGCGTGCGTGAGGAGGTCCGAGTGTGCAGATGGAACGCGTACGACGGCAACCGTTTTTCCTTCGCTACAGAAGTTGATGGTGTGGATGATGCGGACTAGGTTCTCGGCATCGATTGGACTGGAGTAATGTTAGAATTGTGGCGTGGGCTCCAGTGTCTTCATCACTTACGTATGCAGTGCATCGACCATGACATAATCCATACCCAGCACAGCAATGGTACGGGCGACCATTGTATGCGGGAATGCCATGATCGAGCCAAAGAGGTAAGACGGTGGAGCGGAAGGGTCCATAGTCTTCCGCATGGCATGAGCCAAATTGGAAGGTTGAAAAAGTGACGTCGCTCGGTGGTGCTGCATGTCGCCGGCTTTGTGATGCAGGCTGGATAAAGGATCGAATAGCCAATTAGGGAGAAAGAGGCTCACAGGCTTGAGAACGTGGTATGGCTTTGTGGGATGTCTACGGCGTGGCTACTGTCTCTTCGCCTCGTGACACGGTGATTGCGACCTTGCTTTATAATGCCGGTGCATGTTTCATACAACTTCCTATCACGGTTTCGGGGCGCGAATGTTCCTCCAGAGGGCTATGGTCATTGTTTGCTAGCGCCGCTTTGTGTGCATATGTATTTCGCCGAGATAGTTCCATTGTGTATGCTGTGGACGGCTCTCGCGATGATAGATACTCATTAATTGGCCTTGATCAGGGAGATCGATCTCTTAGGATGATGGCAGATCGCTCCTCTCATCGATACCGGACCAATGCACGGCCGATGTTGGGACGTTTCGCTGGCTTTGATGGAATTCGAGGCTCATGCTATAGATGCGGTGTTAGTGCAATGACAGATGTCGCGAACAACATCTGGAGCAGGCCAACATGGTTGGTATGCAGGGTGTGGATCATCGCTGCTGCAGTTCGCAGGAAGCTAGCTAGTTTGGGGAAATGGGCACCGGGGCTGCCCGTCATCGCGCGAGGGTACTCCCGTGATCCACCGAACCCAATTACCCAAAGAGTATGAAGCGTTAGGTGCTAACTTTGTGATTGTCTAAGGAAGGCCACACACACACCATGTGCGTAGAGGCATGTATTGGTTCGGCGCTCGGGCCCACGGCTAATCTAGCTCCAAAAGCACCATCCGAAGAGCCTCGCGGAGTGTGTTCAGTTCCTGTGCCGTCCCCACTGTAATCCTCACACAGCCTTTACATCCGGGTTGTCCACCCACGTATCGAATGGAAATGGCGTGCTGCTCTCGTAGCTGCTCAGTTAGGCGCTGTGCTAGTACGTCGTCTCGTTCGCCTAGCGTTACAATGGGGACGAGTACGAAGTTTGCAGACTGGCCACCGATGGCAGCACCAATGCGATTACGCGTAAGCAAAGGGTCTGCAAGCATCTTGACCAAAGTGTCCCTGTCAGCCATGATCTGGCGCTGCAGTGCAAGTGCAGATGTCTGGCCGCTTTCAGAAAGCGCTCGCTCGGCAATATCCAATACCACGCTTGACAGCTTGTATGGCATTTGCACCTTGGAGAAGATGTCTATAATGGCAGGATGCGCAATGGCCATGCCGACCCTGGACACCTTTAGCGTTGCACGACACAGAACGCGAGCTGGAAGCTGGCTGACTCCCGACGTACCTGATTCCGGCAAGTCCATGAGATTTACTCAGAGATTGTACGATGATCAAATTGTTGTATCTTGGCAAGAGTTGCAGAGCTGAGGCCTGCGTTGCCGCTGGCGTGAAATCTATGTAGGCCTCATCGACAACGACAATGCCCTTGAAAGCTAACGGTAGCGGGTCTGTTAGCTTCTGTCAACGTGGAAATCTGGGCAGCACGGACCGTTGAAATCGAGAATGCGTTGTATCTGATTGATGGGAATCAGCGAGCCTGTGGGGTTGCCCGGCGACGCTAAGATGAGCAGCTTGATGTGGGGATCTTCCGAGAGTGTTGCGCAGATCTAGACGTGGCCTTGTCAGCCGTGCATCACGCTTGGCAAGATTGGGGATAGACAAACCTGCTCTACCGGAACGTGGAAGGTCCCATCGTCTGCCAGGCTCTGCACGCACTCCACCACACCGACGCCTTGGAGCGTTGCACATACTTTGTACAAGTCGAACGTAGGAGGCGAGACGACCATCTTGTCTTCACCAGGTGTACAGATCATTCGTATGATGACATCGACAACATCCGACGCGCCAGACCCTAGCCCGACCTGGTTGATGGCTAATGGCGAGTCGTGATTAGCTAGCGAACTCGGGCTTCACGACAAAAGAAACGACATCTGTACGCACAGTCAAGACCTCGCCACTGCACGACCCGCCGACGTAGGGATACCTGAGACGCCGAGGGATATCGATGCAGGTTGTCGAGATTGATTGAGCCCTGCAGCATATTGCGCCACCAGCGCATGGGCGCGTCGAAAATGCGGGGCTCATCCTTGGGCGCAAGCGCCAGACAAGAACCGGCGGAGTTCTCGTTGGCATCGAGACATACAGCTGCACGTGCTTTCTCGTGGTCGGACGTGGTTGTCTGGTATTTTGGGAAGGCGAGAACATTCGGCCTGATACTGAACTCTAGCGAAAAGTGGCTGGGAAGTAGAGTTCCAGGCATGACGGGCTTGGGGTGGATGGCACACACATTCCTTCCGAACGGCAGATTTATATATCGACTACATGTCGAAAACGATACTACACCCGATGTTTGGGTAGCCGGATGCAGCCTTCACGTCAACCTGCGCAGTGGCAGGCAAGCGGTCAGCTCGGGCAGCAGGGATACGGCAACCACCTATCCAAGTTTCTCCACTCTGTCAAGACTCTCTCGGATCTTGAGTAACTGTCAAATGTATCTTGGTTCGATGGTATCTCGAAGTATCGATCATCACGCTTCTTCATCCCTTCTTCTGCCTCCAGCCGCAATCTTGACTACTTCAGCGAATCACAGGCGTATTCTACTCGGAACTACTTCTTAACGGTTCAAATCATGGAACAACGAGAATGGAGACGTGTTAAGGCCGATACCATGAACTACTCTATCGAGGAATTGGCCAAGCAGCCAGAGCCGTACACGTTTGACCATCCTCTAACCGTCGTCACCTATTTTGTGTCATGGTCGCTATGGGCCGTCTATCTTACTTGCAGATATCGAAATCTCCCGCCCCTCACGCAAGCAGCAAGTGCTTCTTTTTGGCTTCCAGGATTGATATTCTTGACGGAGGTGCTTCTCCTCCTCCCAGCCATTTTCAGTGCGCTACATATGGCTCTATACATCGTCTTCGGCACACGCAACAAACACCGTTCGTCCTATCGACTTTCTGGACAGGAAGCGCCTACCATCGATGTCTGCATAACATGCTGCGGAGAAAAGCTCGACGTCATCATGGATACAGTTGCGGGTGCCGCCATGCAGGACTACCCCTCGGCGAGCTTTCGCGTCTTTGTACTCGACGACGGCGGAAATGCAGCGCTGAAAGATGCCGTTAGCGACTATAACCGCTTGCATGGCACATCGGTTGAATACCTTGCAAGGACTAAGTTGAAAGGCGAGTCTCACTTCTACAAAGCGGGAAACCTTCGCTTCGGGCTGGAGACGACAGAGAATTTTGGCAAGGGCTCCGAATACTTTGCCAGTCTGGATGTCGACATGATAGCGGAGCCTGACTGGCTTCGCCGAGTTGTGCCGCATCTTATTCTCGATTCCGGTATGGCTTTGGCATGCCCAGCACAGGTAAGAATCCGGCACACCAGGAAACTGTGCGACTACTGAACCAATGCTAATGCAAATAGTGGCATTACAACATTCCCAACCCAGACCTGCTCGGTCAGGCCGGCCCGGCATCCATGGAAATTTTCGAACCGATGCACGACAACATTGGCCTCTCGCATTGTTTTGGCTCGGGTTATATTGTCAGGCGCAGCGCGCTCAAGCAAGTTGGAGGGTGGCCCAGAGTGCCAGTCGGCGAGGATATCTTTTGCTCCTACATGCTGGCTGGACATGGATGGGGTATCGCCTTTGTAAAGGAGTTCGTACAATACGGTCTTACCGCAGGATCTTTTGAAGCACTCAGCAGACAGAGGATGCGCTGGGTACGTTACCGCCCAGACATGATGGTGAAGTGGGCATGTGGTCGGTCGTTAACAAGTGCATGCAGGCCGACGGTGATTTACTCTTGATGAAAGGCATCAATTTCTTCATCCCATCACGAGACCCGGCACCTCGTAGGACTGTTCCGCAGAGATTGTCCGCCATCATCAAGATATTGCGCTCCTTCACCGCTGCAACGGATTGCATCGCTATGATCCTCTTGCCCGTCACATTATGGATTGCGAGTAGATGCAACGGAGGTGTAGCAGGGCAAACGTGGGGCTCTGAGAGACATAGCTTGAGAGGACTTCTCCTGGCCACGATACTCATGGACAAGATCAACAATGCCATGATCTACTGGAAGGTAGGGCGGCAGACGGAAAGCCGGTTTTGGGCAGCGCCTTGTGAGTATCGCCATGAGCTCGTCTAGCTAAGTTGAAGATTAACACATATGGACAGGGACCACAGCAAGAATGATATACCTGGCGCTACCGCAGACTATCGTTTCTTTTACAGCCACAGGAACAGTTCAATCGGCAGTCAACGAGCGTCAGGCCCGCCTGCGCAAAGGACTCGCGACCCGAATGCTGTCATGGACGATGTTGGCGTACTTTGTTTACACCATGTCTGCCCTGGCGGCCCTGGGATCGGTCCTGATAAACAAGCCGGGTAGAGGCGGGCAAGGTACAGGCGCGGCACTACGTCTGGTAGAGTGTGTCTACAAAGTGTCGGTGCCGCTCCGGTACATGACATCCCCGCCCACCGTTGCGGAGCGACGAGAACTCATGGAGCAGGATGAGTTGGGCGTATACCGACCGAAGGAGAAATATACCATGAAGGTAAGCAAGCGGGTCACGTGGCTGGACGTGGCAGAGGTTGCGATGATGGTCGTTCTGGATTGGATGTGAGGATACATGCGACGTAGATGGCTAGATTGAACTCGGCTGATGTATAAATGTGCTGCGGCATCTCCCAATAAACTCTGCCGTTCGCACCACTAATTCATCGTGAGCACCGCCACACGCACCGCCACCGGCCGAAACTACAATCGCCCGATCGCTTCCCATGTCGCCGACACTCGTCCAGGCGCACGTTGCTCGCGAAATCCCAACACACAATGCCGGAAATCACGAATCTGAGATGTCACGGCGCAGATGGGCTGCACTACTCGGCCCGCACCTGGCACACGCCTTGAATGCCAGCGAGTCGTATACAACCAGCGACATCAATGGCCACCTTGCCTTCTTCAACGACCACGTCTGTTCCTGGCTTGGACAAGGGCCGCCGAGCCCACTGCGCCCTGCTTTTCCGTCGGCGTTAACATGCGATGCGACACCGCTGGAATTAAGCTACAGCTGGAATGGCACCACGTCGGTTGCGGTCCGCTATGTCGTCGATGTGGTTGCGCCAGACAAGACTCTGACTCGTTTGGCGTCTCTCTCCGCCGCCCGTCTGGCGATTGACAGGTTGACGCGTGCGGGAAGCGGCTCCGGGGCGTACCGTATCGACATGCTACCGGACGTGTGGGTGGCGGTGACGGCGCGCCTCGCCTACTGGGAGCACACCGTTCACCCGGCCCTCGCATGCGACTTATGCAGCCCTTCGTCAACGTTCATCGGCTTTGACCTTGCTGCTTCATGCGCACGCGGCAAGCTGTATTGGCTACTACCTTCCTGTCTCTCTCCCCAAGGCCTGCTGGACCTCTTGGACGACGTCTTCGCGCTGTTGCCATCCGACATCGTCGCTCACTGGCGTCACGTGCGCCACTACCTAAGCTCGCATGGCGCCAGCGAGTTGAGGCCGCGCATGCTCTCGATTGATGCTTCGCACTACCCTGCTCCGCGCATCAAGCTATACAGCCGCTGTTATTTCAACTCGCACGCCTCCTTCTCCGCTATAGAAGTCCTCCTCACTATGGGCGGGGCCATTCCGCTCCCCCCACACAGCCACTACGCGACCCTGTGGGCCCGTCTGCAGGCCAGGTACCGATCAGATCCGCCACAGTCGCGCTACTGCATGGTTGTGTACGACATATTACCCTTGCAGCTCAGGAGTAAGCTCTACTGGTTTGCTCACCAGATGCCCTGCGGCGACGGCCTCGTCATCAACGACATCCTCGCCGACTTCGCCCAGCCCACTGACCTACTTCGACGCCAACTCCGCGCTGGCCATCTGTCCGAAGAGTCCAACTTCATACGGGAAATTGGTCTGGCTCAACGAGACGGCGCTTTCGACATTGCCACTTACATTAGCCCTGCTTTGTTTTCCTCGTAGCTAGCCCACCTAACTCCACTTACTCCGTCATACCTGCTCCCAAATTTCTCCCATCTTGCCAGATTTAGGGAGCTAGCCTCGTTTCATCGTCTTCGTCTTCCATCCCAGCGCCCAACCAACGGGTTATTTGCCTCGTCAACACTGACACCACGACGAACAGACCCGCCGACACCCAAAACGGGAGATACGTCCACTGATCCCCCTTTTGCATGCCACTCATCAGTAGGCCTGCGAACATGGGGCCACTCACAATGCCGGCCATCCGATCTGCCACATTCAGACCCGTATAGAGCATCGTAATCCGATCTTTTGGGATCGATCGGGTTACGCTCGACTGCAATGCGCCGGCCATACCCCACCCCATCATATAGACGAGTATGGAGCATATGAACACCACCACCCTCACTCCCTCTAGCGTGCTGAGAGATGACATCGCCGCTCCCAACATACCCAATAACGTTAGCCATTGACAGACAGTAACCAGACCGATGTCGAGCCGTGCGCTTGGGAAGCCTGCCCTTTGCAGTCTGTGAAATGACCATGAGAATCCTATCAGCGTCATGGCCGCTACCAGACGTTGACCCGCCATCAGGTAGTTGGTGTGAGCGAATGTCCAGTCAAAGCTACGACTGCTCCACTGCTGCACGATGTTGTTCACCCCGTGTCCTAGCTCGTTTAGGAAGACAATGGCCAGTGCCATGGCCGTCGTGGGCTCGAGGAATAGCACCGAAACTCGCCGGCCTGCTGTCGTTATCGAAGCCCATATCTGTTCCCAGACGTATCGCTCCAGGTTCTCTTTTGTTCCGTCTCTTGCGTGCGCGAGTAGAGGATTCGTGATATCCTCGGCCTCCCCTTCTCTCGTCATGGACCCCTGCCTTCGGTCGGGTGGGTCCGCAATCAAGCAGAGAGCGGGAACAGCCAAACAGTGCATCGCCAGACCTAGCAGTGCTGGTGCCCACAAATTGTCTTGCATGAGGCGCGCCCCCACCATCTGGCCGACGGCATTGACGATAAGGCGCACGGCGTTGAGGAGAAAAAGAACTTTGCTCCTGAATGTCTCGGTTAGCCAAATTTGGACTACGCCATTGTGAAACGGATACGGTACAGATGTGCCGCAGGCAGGCTCTCGGCGATCAAGGCGTTGGCGACGCTCAACAGAACGCCATCGCCACCACCGAAGATTCGCCAGAGAGACTGGCCCAAAACGAGCCTGACATCGAATGTCTGGTGATAGTAGCCTGCATCAAGGTTGCGTCAGCTCGCCGGTCTACTATCAGTCACGGCGAAGGAGCCCTCATGACTCACAGATGCATATGTAGTATGTGAAAGTGCTGACGGCGCCAGCGACATTGGCAGCTAGGATCGTACGTCGACTGAATCGTGCGCAAAGGGCCGCATATGGAAATGCTGTCATGATCTCTGGTATTTGTTAATCGCTTTCATGAGAGCCAGCGGGACAAGAGCCTCGTAATGCGCTCTTACCAATGATGGATGATACCGCCATGTTGTATGCATTGATCATGGCCAAGTCTTTCTGTACGGATATTGCTTTGCACTTGTCTTCGGTCAAGTCTGTATCCGAGGGCACAGCTCCAGGAGAACGTTTGGCGTGATAGGAACGACACAAGTCCAATTCGACGATGCGTAAGAACGGCGCTTTGCACAATGCCTGTCCCAATGACATGACCACCAGAAGGAGACCACATCCTAGAGCAGTGTGATATTTCGAGGCAAGCATGGCGTGGGAAGATTTCGAGATTTTGGTGCAAGTGGAATGGCGCTGCCGATGTGAAGATATTCCGTACCCTGTTCAACTCACGTGCCGAGCTGGTGCTGCAGCCTGCGCATCATTCATCTTCAACCTTGATCGCTCAAGATTGCAAAACGTTGTGTGCGGATATCTATTACGCAGAAACCCGTTCTTCAATCACCGAAAGTTCCTTTCAATTGCTTTTCTTCCTCATCGTTCTAAAAGATGGCAATCATGGAGGACAAGCACCAGACTGTACTTATCATTGGCGCAGGCATAGCTGGGCTTGCTCTCGCACAGGGTCTTAAGAAGGTATGTAACACCACAGTCGCCCGCTTGCTAATTCCACTTATTGACAAAGCAAATAGAAAGGGATTCCATTTCTGGTTTTTGAAAGAGATGCATCAGCCGTGAGCCGGCCCCAGGGATGGGCTCTTACCATCCACTTCAGCCTACCACTATTGCTAGACTTTCTTCCCGAAGACATTGCAAGCCGATTACATACCACGAAAATAGATCAGGCTCCAGGACAAGATCAGAGTCACTCGATATTTCTCAACCTGGAGACTTGCACGTCTAAATGGTCTTTGCCGCCCACATACGGTAACCGCATGCGAGTCGTGCGAGGTCGACTTCGCAACATGCTCATGGAAGGGATTGAAGAAAGAATTCTATGGGGAAAGAAACTGGCATCATTTGAGGACGGGGCAGAAGGCGTCAGGACGGTCTTCAGCGACGGAAGTTGTTACAGCGGACAGCTTCTAGCTGGAGTGGACGGTTGTCACTCGACGGTCCGGTCCTTGCGCTACGGAGCGAAGCTCTCGCAACCCACGCCCATCCCAGCCTGCTTTCTAGGCACCCAAGCACTGGCCACGGAATCCCAGATGAAACCACTGCTTGCACTGGACCAGACGCTTTTCCAAGGCTCGCATCCAACGCACCCTGCCTGGATGTGGTTTTCCGTCATGGAACGCCCGAAGCCGGGCGGAGCGGACCCTGTGTGGCGCGTGCAAATCTGTCTCTCCTGGCTTTCCTCCAACGGGCACGCAGACATACCCAGCACAGACAGTGGGCGCATTGCCTTGATGAGGCAGAAATCGGCAGACTTCCACCCGACGTTCAAAACTATCTTCCATGATATCCTGTCTGATAGCCACGGACCCGTTGTTAACGTGCCTTTGGAATTCTGGTGGTTACCTTGTGATGACTTGCCCGGCGATGCAAAGGGCCGTGTCACGCTTGCGGGCGATGCAGCGCATACTATGCCTTTATGTTCGTGCTCCCTACCTCCTTGAACGAGCTGTTCGTTAACCTGACTAGATCGCGGAGAAGGCTTCAATCACGCTCTCATGGACGTGCACAAGCTGCTTGAAGCTATCGATGGCATGCGCGCTAATGACGCAGATAGCGAGCGTATAATCCGCGACTATGAGATTGAAATACGCGCGCGCGGTCGCCGGTCTGCGTTGATGTGTCGGGATGCTTGTCTTGAGGTACATCAGTTCGACGAACTTGGCGATCATTCTGTTGTACGCCAAAAGACTTTCGAATAGTACCAAGGCTGTTGGCACGGGCTAGTTGTTTCGCCGGTCTCCCTTTCTTTCGCATCTGCTCCCGTCATTCCGATTGCTTCTCAATGTCGAGACTATACCGTGACTGGTCGTCAGATTATCCGTGCGCGAAGAAGGAAACAGGATCGTACTCGCTAGCCACGTGTATCCCGAACCTTCATGGGTCCGCAAGTTATGATCATCGAGATATTTGACGCTCCGAAGGAGATGCCCCAGCTCAGTTGTGCTTGACCAGACTACTCATTTCCAACATCGCAGTGCTACATTGCCGTCGCATCTCAAACTTCAGCTCTTTGGTGCTTGTCTCGTATCTTTGCTTTACGTGTAGCGTTGGTTCTTAAGTCGAGTTGGAAAAGCATGATAGTGCACTATCCGCACATCATTGGCAATCTGTCGATCACCCGCTTCCCGAATCTTCCTACCACGTCGCAATCAGACAAAATGGCGACGCTCAAGCCTGATTGGCGAGCCTAAGCCCGGCTACAAGTATCGCATGCTTCCCATTTAGGACGTGCGACCATGAAAATAGAAGCAGAACAAATTCAGTTCATCTCCGGAACTGCTACGACGGCGACGTGCTCAGACATGCTTCTCCCATTGCCCATGGCTGTATATATATCAAAGGGTCGCTCGCACACACCCTTCACATCCTCCAAAAGGCCGATGCGCATTCATTCCTTTCCTGATTCTCGCATGTGATCATTGCAGCACGCGCGCGAGTGACTGCCTCGCTCCAAAATGTTCTTCACCATGACTATCGCCTGGAGCATGGTCAACCTAATACATGTGGCTCAGCTCATCCTGGCGATTGGCTTGAGTAGCTCTGCTTCAGCACGTCTGTTTCTCTGGCTACGGCGCTCAGACTTGCGGAAGACATTATTCGAAAACGACCAGCGATATCAAGATGAAGATGGGTGTGCGTCGGAAGAGTCACTCGCGAAGTTTTCCGACCGCTGGCCACGAGCCCTATTTGCTACCAATACTTTCGTTGGTAGCTTGGCCGGTTTTGGGCTCGTCGTGCTTGGGTCGCGCAACAGACTCTCCATTGACCGGGTCGTTCAATTTGGAATATGGGTAAGTGAGAATTCTTCTCTCATCGTGTTGATCCGACTAACGAGGGATGCCTAGATCACGTTGATGCTACAGTCCATGACGTTGTTCACCGAGCCATCGGCTCCGCGCCGATTCGGATTAGCGCTGCGGGGCAGCCTGAACTCCGTCAACGTAGCATGCGCAGTCCTCTTCGCCAGATACAACGATCTTTCGCAATCGAGCCAGTTACTACAAGAAGAGCGCATTCTCATCATCATCGAGCTTGTGTCAGCCGCGCTGGCCGGTGCGCATGGCTTACTGCTGCCACGCCGCCCGGAGGTCTTCTGGAACGGAGTTGTTGTGGACCGACAAGCCACAAGCTCGGTATTTGGCCTACTGTTCTTCTCCTGGTCCCAATCATCGCTTCATGTTCTATCGAAGGCAACGGCGCCGATGATATGCTGCCTTCCGGAGCTCAACTCCAGAACGCGCGCGCTTCACCTCCTGCAGCAGTTTCGGCAACATGACACTCTTCAAAACAACCCATACCCTCTCTGGAGGAAGTTGTCGGTCGTTTACTCACGGAAGTTGATTGTGCAGCTGAGTTTGACTATTCTTGGATCCATCATCAGCTTCGCGCCGCAGATGATGCTTCTCGGTATCCTCAGAGCTATGGAGCGAGATACCGATAGCGAAAATAGACTGACTACGACTACTCCATGGATACTTGGGCTTGGAGCGAGCGTCATTATCTCTGCTCTAGTGGAGAAGTGGACTGTTTGGGTGTCGAGCATAGACTTGGGTCTGAAAATGCAGAAGCAGCTTACCATGCTTCTCTTTCACAAGATGCTTCGAGGCATGTCTACGGAACCGGAAGAAGAAGACGACGAGAATGAAACAAAACCAACGGACCCAGCAAGTCTCAATCTCATCAACCTGGTCGCGGCCGATACGCAACAAATCGGCAACTGCATTCGAGAGGTCTACAGGGGTTATGAGTCGCTCATCAAGCTGGCGATCTCCGGGTTCCTCATTCAGCAGCTCATGGGGTGGAGAAGTCTGGTCGCCAGCATCATCATGATAGCCGCGCTTTTCGGTGCCAACACGCTCGTTGCACGGCGACTCGCGCAAGGGCAGAGCAAGCTCATGGCTGGCAAGGACCTACGCGTCTCAGCCGTCACGGAAGCTTTGCTAGGAGTCCGTCAGATCAAGCTTTCTGGAGCGGAGGATAACTGGGCCACGTATGTTTCAGACCAACGCAACAAAGAGCTGAATAGTCTTTGGGCGGTCAATCGATGGAGCATGGCCTCGAGGGCGATATGTACGCTAACCCCGATTGTACTTTCCGTACTCGTCATCTCGATACACGTACACGCTACTGGAAGTCTGAAAGCATCTACTGCCTTTACAGCGCTATCAATTCTCGGATCTATAAACGGTACACTGGCGGCTATTCCTCCCCTACAATCAAGTTGGGTGCGCGCCTCGAACAGCTTGCGACGCCTCCAGGAATACCTCTATGCGGCCGATCAGTGCTTTCCCTCGACCAACCATGATGAGATCAGCTTTAGCAACGCGACGATTCGGTGGAATGGCACAGGGCCGAACGACTTCGCTCTCAAAGACCTGACATTGTCCTTTCCTCAAGGTGCTGTGAGCGTCATCGAAGGGCCCAATCGCTCTGGAAAGAGTCTACTACTGGCCGCTGTTCTTGGGGAGTGCGAGCTCGTCTCGGGAAATGTCACCAAGCCCAGCCTTGTCGCTCAGACACGAGGTGTGACAGGCGGCCGCTCTTGGCCCTTGAATGTAGCAATCGCGTATGTCGGACAGACGCCGTGGATTGAAGCTGGCACGATCATGCAAAACATCACATTCGGGCTTCCGATGCAAGCAAGACGATACAAGAAGGTGCTTTTTGCCTGTGCCCTGGAAACGGATCTTGCAACTTTCAAGGATGGCGACTGGACCGAAATCGGACCGCATGGTGTCAATCTCAGTGGTGGCCAGCGCTCACGTATCGCGCTTGCGCGTGCCCTCTACTCCTCCGCGGCTACACTAGTACTGGACGACATCTTCAGCGCTGTCGACGCTCACACTGCGCTTCATATCGCAGAGCACGTCTTAAGTGGCTCACTCGTCCAAGGGCGTACCGTCATCTTGGCTTCGCACCATCCCTCGCTCTACATGCCTAGCGCGAACTACATCGTTTCACTATCGGGTGATGGCCAGTACCAGTCCAGATATGCGGACGACCGCATTGATGAAGAATCACATGATATACCCAACGCCATGACAAAGATGACCCCAAGGATTCGTTCTGGATCAATTGCCAAGGCCAGGTCGAGACATTCTCGCAATCTCTCGACGTTATCTGTCACATCTGGGGAGCTGTTCGTGATTCCAGATTCCACGGGTGTCATGACCACCCACCAATATGTTGTGGACGAGCAGGAACGTAACTCGGGATCACAACACAGTACTTTGATGCTATATCTGCGGTATATTGGGGGCCTCTGGTACACACTACTGATTGTCCTAATATACGCGGGCTATGTTGGCATTGTCGTCGGACAGGTATGTTTTACATCGTGTACACGAGCGATGTTGTGATGCTAACAACTAACAGTCATGGTGGATCGCCCATTGGGTACAGCAAGATGAACGAAGTACTCAAGCCATGCGTAGTCCCGCAAGCGACAACGATGCCGGCCTCTTTTGGTACTTGGGTATTTACGCGGCATTTGCAATGGCGACTTGTCTTATCGGCATTACGCAAGAATACTTGACGTACGCATCCATGTTCAATGCTTCGAGACGGTTGTTCGACATGCTCCTACACGCTGTCTTACGTGCACCCATGGACTTCACCGACCGCAACCCTCTAGGCCGGATCATGAATCGTTTTACAAGCGACACGGCGATTCTTGATGAGCAAGTGGGGCAAATCCTCGGCAGCGCTTTGACAAGTGCCCTGATGCTCATCTCGATCTTTGGGGTCGGCAGTAGTGTTAGTTGGTGGACGCTGCCCATGTCCTTACCGATGCTTCTCATGTGCACTTACAGCGCACTTCAGTTCTTTCAAGTGGCACGCAAACTAAAGCATCTCGACAACATCAGCCGCAGTCCGGTACTTGAAAGCTTTTGTTCAACCATGGATGGCCTGCCTACTATCCGGTCGATGCTCCTGCAGGAAAGATACACCATCAAGTTCGGAGCTTTGGTCGACGACAACACACGGGCACTTTGGAATCTTTGGCTTGTGAACGCCTGGTTTGGTTGTCGCATGGCAGTAATTGGGTCCGCCTTTGTGACCGCAGCCACATTGATCATCGTCGCGATGCCTGGCATCACAGTCGCAATGACAGGTTTCGCTCTAGGCTTTCTGATCCGCTACACGGAGACTGTTTCGGCGTTTGTTCGCAACTTCATCAATCTCGACCTTGCCCTCACCAGCACAAGCCGCATTCTCGAGTATACCAACATACCAAGCGAGCATTACAGCTGCGGAATGTTGCCACCCGCAGCCTGGCCAGAGTCGGGCCGTGTGAAGATTTCTGATCTAGTCATCAGACACGCGCCCCATCTCCCTCCTGCTCTCAATCACGTCAGCTTTGAGATTGGGCCAAATGAGCGGGTTGGGGTTGTTGGGCGCACAGGAGCAGGAAAATCGACTCTTGCAATGGCCTTCTTTCGCATTCTCGAAGCGGAACAGGGCAGCATCACGCTTGATGGCATCAACATTGCGGAAGTGGCTCTACAACAGCTGCGCCAGCGTCTCTCCATCATAACGCAGGACCCGCATCTCTTCTTCGGTACTGTCCGCACAAACCTCGATCCTTTTGACAAGCATGACGACACGGATCTCGTCCACGCATTGGAACAAGTTCATTGGCCCGGCTGCAGTGATGCACATCGCAAACAAACGAATCGACTATCTGGTCCTGGTCTGTTCTCAGATCCCGACGAGGCGGTTTCTAGAAGACGCATGCGTGTTCTATCGTTGCTCGAGCAACCAATCATGGATGGCGGAAGCAATCTCTCCCAAGGTCAGCGCCAACAGCTCAGCCTCGCACGCGCTATCGTTGATCGCTCAAGGCTTCTCATCCTAGACGAAGCGACATCCTCCATGGATCCAGTCGTTGATGCAGCAATCCAAACGTCGATACGGGAGCTGTCCGCATGCGGGCTTGCTTCTATGCTTGTTATTGCGCATCGGATAGGAACAGTCATGGACTTTGACAAGATCATCGTGTTGGACAAGGGAGTTGTTGTGGAAGCTGGTAGCCCTAGCGAACTGCTGAAGCTGCCAGGGGGACACTTTAGAGGCCTCGCCGAAGACGCTAGAGAAACGGTCAAGGAAGTCGAGGTGCAAGAGATGATTACTGAGACTGTACACACGAGCGAAAGCGTTTTCATACAAGAGTCTATACAGAATTCCGTCTTGTAAACCGCAAGGAGCAAAACGGAGGTTAATGTCTATGTAAAGGTTGATATCTCAAAACATCAAAAGATGTCTACTTTCTATTTCACCTTTGTACCCATGGTTACTCATTGCGCATTTCATTATCTCTGTCGCATTGAGTAACATGAACGATGACAGCGGCAACATCCCGTTGTCGCACGCGGACAGCATCTGCGACACGCTCCGCCACTAGCCGACAAAACCGACTAGCACGCACGCTCGCGCATACACCTCCTGCAAGTGATTGCAAGGATACAAGAACGGAGCGGCCGCACCCTGACGTTGGGTACATGTGCTGCAAGCCAAGATGTACTTCATGTGCATATCGACTTAGCTCCACGAGACACCGTCGCCCGCATGCTAACCTCGATTCATTCATTGATCAACATGTCTTACCACTGCGTCATGAGCGCCTTCCAACATGAGAGTGCTCAAATTGCTCCGGCATGCAAACGACTGTATTGCGTAAGGCCAGCGCTGTACAGGCGGCTATGCGCGTGCCCACGTGACATCACCATCTCACTTTACATGCTCGCACTCCCGTATACGCGCTTGAAAGGACAAGCAATCTCTTGATGCAAAATCCGGACATTCCACAACTCCCCGCCACGCTTGTCGCACCATGGCAAACATGGACGTAGAAGACGTCCTATCTCAATTGACGCTCGCAGAGAAATGCAATCTCCTTTCAGGTTCGTCGTGTCCTCCACATCTCGCTCTCACTCTCTCCACTATAACCACAAGAAGTATCTCCTCACTGGCCAAGTACTAACCACCACCCAGGCGGCTCATTCTGGCGCACCCTCGCCATCCCCCGCCTATCGATCCCCTCCCTCTGCATCACCGACGGCGCTGACGCCGTCCGCGGCAGCCGCTTCTTCAACTCAACACCGAGTGTGTGTCTTCCTTGCGGCTCCGCCCTCGCCTCAACCTGGAACCCAGAGCTGCTCCAACGCCTCGGCACACTAATGGGCGAAGAGTGCCGCGCAAAGAAAGCCCACGTCCTACTCGCTCCGACGATCAACATTCCGCGCAGCCCCCTCGCTGGCCGTATCCACGAGTGCTACGGCGAAGATCCATATCTTGCTGGTATGTTGGCGGGCATGTTTATCCGCGGGATTGAGGGGACGGGCATAACGGCGACGGTGAAGCATTTTGTGTGTAATGATCAGGAGCAGGGGATTTTTGCCATGGATTGCGTGGTTAGTCAGAGGGCGTTGAGGGAGATTTATTTGAGGCCGTTTGAGTTGGCGGTGAAGGTGGGGAGGCCGGGGGCGCTGATGACTGCGTATAACAAGGTTAATGGGGTGCATGTTACGGATAGTGTGGAATTGTTGAAGGGGGTGTTGAGAGGGGAGTGGGGGTACCAGGGGCTTGTTATGAGTGATTGGTAAGACATAGCAGACAGTCGCGTCGAAGATGCCGTGCTAATCCTGCCGTCTTAGGTTTGGCATGTACGGCGTACAAGGAGCAGTCGAAGCAGGCGTTGACCTAGAGATGCCCGGCCCAGGTGAATGGAGAGGCAAGCGGCTTGCACATGCCGTTGCAGCGAAAAGAGTCGACAAAGAATGCGTAGACGACCGAGCAAGAGCGGTACTAAATCTGGTCAAGAAAGCGTCAGCGTCGAAGATCGAGGGCACCGAAGAAGAAACACTGGACAGGTCCGAAGATAGAGCCCTCTTACGCGAGGCAGCAGCCGAGTCCATCGTCCTCATGAAGAACGACGAGAACATCTTACCCTTCGACATCAACAAGCCAATCGCCATCATCGGGCCCAACGGAAAGGTAGCCGCCTACCGAGGAGGCCGAGTAGCCCATCTACGTCCCTACAACACCGTCACGCCCTTTGACGCAATTACAGAACGCTCCCAAGCCGCCGTGCACTTCTCGCAAGGCATCTACAACCACTACGAACTACCCCTCCTCGGTGCACAAATGCGAACAAAGAGCGGGAAAGTGGGCTACGACATGACCATCTACTCTGCCCCACCAGACGCAACAACACCCCCGCGCCGCCTCCTCGATCACTACGAGCTCCTCAACTCGTGCGGTTTCTTCTTCAACTACCATGACAAGAACCTACGCGAATACTCCATCGACATCACCGGCACCTTCACACCCTCCTCATCCGGACTTTTCGATTTCGGCCTCAGCGTCCAGGGAACCGCGAATTTATACATCGACAAAGAGCTCATCATCGACAATACATCGCACCAAAAGAAAGCAGATGGTTTCTTCCGCAACGGCACAGTCGAAGAACACGGAAGCATGGATGCTGTCGCAGGGCAAACGTACCAAATACTGTGTCGCTGGAATTCACCTTCCATATCCGGCGCCTCCAGCAGCGGCAGCGACGACACAGCATTTAAACCAGGTAACATCCGTCTAGGGGGTTGCCACCGCCTCGATACAAACACCGCCATCGCATCGGCCGCCCACCTCGCCTCCCAAACCCCCCAAACCATCATCCTCGCCGGCTTCGTCGGCGAATGGGAATCCGAAGGCAACGACCGCAAAGACATGTCGCTTCCCCCTCACACCGACTCTCTCATCACCGCCGTGCTTGCCGCAAACAGTAAGGCCGTTGTAGCCATCAGTTCCGGCGGGCCATACTCCATGCCCTGGCTGTCTGACACAAAAGCGCTCCTGCAGGTCTGGTACGGCGGCAATGAAACGGGGAATGCAATCGCGGACGTGGTGTACGGAATTACGAATCCGAGTGGCAAGTTGCCGTTGAGTTTCCCGGTGAGGGTGCAGGATAATCCTGCGTTTCTTTGTGGGCATGCGGATCAAGAGAGGGTGCTTTATGCGGATGATGTTTATGTCGGGTATAGGTATTATGATGCTGTTGACCGAGATGTGCTGTTTCCGTTTGGGCACGGGCTGTCCTATACTAGTTTCGAGATCAGCGGGGTTGGTGTCGCGGTGGACGGGCAGGAACTGGTGGTTGAATGTCAAGTTGAGAATACGGGGGAGAGGGAGGGCAAGGAGACGGTGCAGGTTTATGTGAAGAATCGGGAGGCTAGTGTGAGGGGACCTGAGAAACAATTGAGGGGGTTCAGTAAGCTGAGTGTGGGGAGGGGGGAGAAGAAGAAGGTGGAGGTCAGGATGGGGCTTTGGGGTGCGACGGCGTGGTGGAGTGAGGATAGGGGGAAGTGGGTGAGGGAGAAGGGGAGGTACGATGTTTTGGTGGGAGCGTCGAGTAGAGCGGCATTCGCAAAGGCGGAGTTTACGCTGGATACTACGGAAGAGACAAGGAGTCGGTGAGGTGCTGTGGTGGACGAAGATATCGGGCGTTGGCGCTGGGCTGCTACCTTGCAGAGAAGTCAGTGGGTCTATCGCAACAGCCTTGTTCATTCTCGAATACGTGACTAAACCAATGTGAACCACTCAGCCGAAGACTCCAAAAGCGCAAGAATCAACTTGTCTCCGCCCATAACCCCGTGCACGTAAGCCGTTCCCACGAACATCTTCTTCTTCCGCTCCCCTCCCATAGGGCCGCCGGCAGGATCAGTGTAATTACGTAGCACGACAGGCACGTCGAATCCCTTTAACACAGCGAGGATGTCGCCCTCTTTCGCATCGAATGGCACCAATGCTACACATCCTGACATTGTATACGCAAGCTTCCGTCCCGCTAAAAAGAACCAGAGGAAGGCAAGAAATTGAAAAGAGCGCATTCTGCCTCCACGCATTTTGAAATCTTGCTGGAGTGTGACCCTTGCCTCGACTTTGTAGACTGCGCGCTTTTATGTCCAGGACAACGTCTCAGAGAGGGTCTCCTTTCATGGGTGAGAGCCCACGAATGTCGGTCGTCGTTTCTCCCGGTATTGGATCGTCATTCGAAGCGTCACTAGCGATATTTACTGGCAACGGATAAGTGACAGTAGAACTTAATTGTTGTCACAAAGTCGTTACCCTTCTCGCCAGGTTGAGGTTCTGATTGAAATGCACACGCCCCGTCCATCCATCTACAGAAGTCAGCCATTGTCAGATTATATTTGGATCGTGCCTCTGCCGTTGCCATGTCAGCCTCAGGACATCTCATCAGCGCGCTGAAACACACAGGGTCTAGGTAGCGATGACTTCCACCACCTCCCCTCCACCTCCCCTCCGCCTCCCCCACCCACCCAAAGTTCTAGAGAGGCCTTCTCTGGTCTTCATGTACAGTCTGTGGGTGCTTTGCATGGCATGCACCATCCATGATCAATCTCTTTGCGTTGGAAAACTCTCGTGCGCCGTGAACTTGCATTCGACTCGAGCATCTCCATCGTGAGAGCGCAATGTTGTCAAGAGGCGGATAGTATGACTTGCACCACGTCACCTCCTCCTCCCCTCCGCCTCCCCCACCCACCCAGGATGATCACCGGCGTCAAAATTGGAAGCTTCCTCGTTCTCTCAACCACAGACCATACCATCCCTCGGCTCCTCAACAACCTCCTCCTTCTCCCCATTCGCCTTCTTATCTCCACCCTCCTCACTGACTACCTTCTCCTCAACCCTCCCCCCAGGCACCAACCCCACACTCTTGACCTCCTCATCCCCCTTCTTCACCGCCTTCTCCGCCCTCTCCTTCTCCTCCTCCAACCTCTTCCTCTCCTTCTTACTAACAGTCATACTCCCCTTCTCCAACGCCTCCTTCGGTAACGGCCTAACATACGGCTGACACACCCAATACGGCCTCTTGACACGTGCGACGGTTGCGAGGGAGGATTCGTAGGGGTCTAGTTCCTCCTCCTCTCTTGCACCATTGCCTTCTTCTTCTTCTTTTACTGCCATTGTGGAGGTAGGTTCGGTGGAAGCGTTAGCATGCTCTTCCTCGTACTTCTGGATACCAGTCTTGACCGCGTCTTCAACGAGGGAAAGCACGTTTTCGAAGGCATCAATATCGCCCGTCCGCGACCGTGCGAGCGCATCTCGTACATTATGATGTTGAGAAACCAGCGGACGCAATAGATGAAACAGATGAGCTTGCATAGCCGTGAGATTGGGGTTGCTAGCTTCTTTCTTCTTCGCAGCTTTAGACAACGATTTTTGTTTCTTCTTTGGCGGACTTTCGTCTTGGTCGGCGGGGCGTTTGCCGTTTTCTGCTGCATCCGTGTTGGTGTTGGTGTTGAAATCGGCTGTTTCTTCCGGTTGTTTTGACGAGGCCTCGACGTCGACGTCGGGGTCGCCGGGCATCCAGAGCGGTTTCCGTTGTGGTGGGTCCTGACCGAGTGCGTATTTGTGGATGATGTCCATATACCGTCTCATCACAGCGTCCATCCTGTACCCACCCTTCCCGTCGCGACCGCGCCAGTACTCTCGTCCTTCCTGGCCGGGTGGCGGTGGTGCGGCGAAGATGGTGGGGTCGTAGAGGTTTCCTTCTGCGCTCATGACGCCATCTGCGCCTGTGGCTTCTAGACACGCGGCGATGTCTTCGTGTTGGAGGATGTTGCCGTTGGCGAATATGACGGTTTCTTTAGGAAGGTTCTCCCGTAGGTGGCGGATCATCTTCCAGTCTGCGAGGCCGGTGTTGTGGCCTTTTTGTTCTCGACGCCGGCCGTGCACTGTGATGATGCTTGCGCCGGCGTCTAATAGTGTCTTTGCGTATGCGAGTGTCTTTTCCGGTGTCTCGAGCACCCTCATTTTCGCTGTGACTGGGACATCCAACTCCTCGTGTAGCTTGCGTATCATCCTCGATATCAGATCCCAATCCTCCTGCAGGAATGCGCCGTATTTCCCCCTCTTCGCGATTCCTTGTGGACATCCCAGATTCAGATCTACCGCATCGCAGAAAGGCGCAACGTGTTTTGCCGCGCGCAGGAAGTCTTCGGGGTCGTTCGAGCAGAATTGTACGGTGAGGGGTCTGTCGAACGCGGGGTTGCCGTCGAGATGTCTGTCCGATTCGGGTAGTTGTGAGAGGTGGTAGTCGTCGCTGGGTGAGGGGATAGTTGACTTGAGGGGTTGGAAGTGGGCGTCGCGGTAGTTGCTCTTTTCGCCGAACATCTTCGAGTGGAACATTGGGGTGTATGCTAGGAGGTCTTTCTGCTGAGATTCGGGGAGGAACGAGCGGGAGAGTAGTCGCCATGCCTATAGACAACGATGTTAGCCATCGTCTTTCTGTGGAGTCGAATAGAGATGAAGAGACATACGAACTCTGATTGTTCGACCATGGGCGCAAGGATGAGCTTTGGACTGCCGATACTCTCATAGAATGCGCGCCCATGTAATTTCCTCCTCTTTCCGTTCGACTGCGCCGCTCCATTGATGCTTCCATTCTCTTGCGCCATCCCATTCCCAGTGTTGTGCAGAGTCCCCGCCACCTCCCCATTCCCTTGCACCGCTGTCTGAGCCATAGTCGCCATCTTCGCGCAGTATCGATTCGGAATTCCTCTTGCTAACCTGGGGGCGACGGCGCCCCCAAACACTTGGAGAAGAGAAGGACGTATGGCGACGGACGTCGAACGAAGTGAGATCGAGCGCAGCGAGATTCGTTCAGCTAGTTCGTGTCGGTCGAGATCTTGTCGGTCGGCGGGTGTAGCGAGCGGAGCGAGCCCTGGAGTGTAGCAAAGTCGTGCGACCGTAATACCAGCAGACTCGAGTAAGACTAGGACAAGCGCATAAACCAAAGGACAAACAAGGCAGTCTCGCGTATCTCACCAGATGCCTCGATGACTCGTGCAGTAGACGTCCGTCGTGCTCGTCCAGCAAAAAAACGCCATCAGCACTCCACTGCATCTGACCAATCGGAGTGCGGGGTATCTCCGTATGGCACCGTCTTGCGAACGAGGCACAGGAAGAGTCATGGACGACGTTTGTGGTATGGAATGTTGTTTCTCTCTCTTCACTTATTTATCATTGATCTCGTCTTACTGTTTTCCTGTCTGTGTTTGGGGTTCTTGATGCGGGGGTAGGAAGGTTGGTGGAGATGTTTCTACGACTCCATCCATGCTCGGAACATTGCAAGGGAGATGCTAACATATAACACATATGCAAACATTGTCTATAGTTCTCAACTACTGGGTTCAATACCAGTCGATTCCAGCTACATGGTACATTACCCACAAGCGGCATCCACATGCATCAAACACCTGCCCTTAGCCTCGCCCGACCAAACCCTGACCGACATCACGCCATCAGGGTACCACATCACAACATGCGAGTCACGCCAGCTACATATACATGCGCATGCCCACCACCTCACCGATACACAGACATTCACATAAGTAGAGGAAATAGACCTCCACCTCCACCCCTACCAAACACACTCGCCACGCCTACTACATGTACACGTCCATGCCCAACACCCACCCAGCCGTATCACCAACACACCTCAACACTCAAAATTTCAGAATATACCAATGTAATTTCATCTCATCTCATCTCAACAGACTACAACCACCACACCATCTTCCTCATATACCATAACCCCATGATAAACCACATACAACCCAGCCTCATGAACAATCAGCCATCCATCTGCCCAAAGGACCTCCAGATCATCACGGTACGCGGTGATATGAGACGGACGCACGTCTTCCTGAAATGATTACGTGCGTCCGTCGCACATCACCGCGTACCGCCATGATCCGGAGCTGGGAGGTTGTCATCGAAAAGAAAGACCATCTCCAACAATCATTATATCTGGATATCTTCGTCGGCCGTAAAACACAGTAACATCTCTGTCGACTCCACAAAGAGAGACCCGTCGAGAGAGATCAAGAGAGAGAAAGAAACTCTCTATAAGGTTGTTGAAGGAAAACGCTGAATCGCAAGGAAAAGAGGAAGAAAACACACGCAGACCACCCCCCATGATTGATCAAGACGCCATGTTGGAAAAGCCAAAGAGAGGACGCCGGTTTTATGCAGTTTAGTTGATGCAGATGCAGAAAGCTTCGTGTCGAGGTCGAAGCAAGTGAAAAGGTGGAATGGGACCAGTGCCGTTACGACAATACTGGACCCTCCGGATATCATCAAAAGAGAGTACGCCAGGAGCAGGAAGGCCGTCCGATCCGTCCGTCCGTCCAGGTGTCATGAAGATATGAAGGAAGTTGTGTGCGGCGATGACAAGCAACCGCCCAAGTTTAGAAAGTGCTCCAGTTCCATGTGCCCTGGAAGCTCTGGGCGAGGCTGCCTACGCGCGTGTTCTCAGGACGCTTAGCCGGGGCAGGAGTCTCGATGGACTTTGCGGGAACAGGACTGCTGTTGCTGCTATCGGAGCTCTCGCTGTTGGTGCGGCTGGAGCGGAGATGCTCCCACTCGCGGAAGGAGCTGTGGCAGCGGTCGCAGGCACGGTGCCAGTGGCCTTCGGGGTGGAAGCGCGCGAGCTCGTCGAGACGCACGTTGTTGCGCGAGTGCTGCCAGCAGAAGATGCCGCCGCACTTGCGGCAGTGGTGGCGCCGCTGGAAGAAGCCAAAGGGCTCCTGGCAGCTGGATGCCGAGCACACCGATGTGGAACCGTCGGCCTAGGGATGAGTTAGTGTGGATTCTGGACGCAACGGCAACTCTGAATTGTGGACAAGTGGACAGGTGTCGCTAGCCCGAACAGCCCGGACTCCAGCCCTGCATCGGGTAAAAGAGTAGGTATAGGTCTAGCGTGGGGGACGACGTGTGCATGTCTCGACAGCCGGCAGACGATGGAAATTATCCGAAGCCCATGGCGAGGCGACATGCACAACATGATCGACCTTGGCCGCCGACTTTGTCCCCCAGCCGTCTTGTTGAGCTGAGTTGGAGGGCTCGGCATGTCGGCTCTGCAGACAGCGGGAGGCCAGACCAACGTGCGCTAGGCGGTGGGACCGGACCATGTACGTAAGACGGTCCCCTCGCAGCCCAGGTGAGCACGCGACAGGGAAGCACGGACAGGCTAGCAGCGGCATAGCGGACAAGTAGGAAAGGCGCGAATACATACCTGCCAGTGGTTGCGTGTGATTGGCCCCGCGACGGGCGACAATGGTTCGGCGTTGTAGAGGCTCTGCATGTCTTCATTGCCAATCTGCGAGACGGGCGTCGCGCTGCCCTCGTTGGCGACCCACCCGTACGTGCCAGCCGACCAGCCCTGGTTCGGGGACGACACGCCCGAGTCGACCTTGGGCGGCGACTTGCTGCTGGGCTTCTCCGTCTTGCGCAGGGCTGCGGGGATGCCGATGGCGGTGCGCGGCTGGTAGATGCCCTGGTGGCGGGCGAGGGGCAGGTGTGTGGTGCGCGGCGACGTGGGCGAGACGTTGGCGGGCGTGTTGACGCCGGAGTGGGTGGGCGAGTACTGCGAGTGGGTGCTCTTGCGGTAGGCGTGGTGCTGATAGGGTGCGTGTTGCGGGATCGCAGTCGCGGTTGAGAAGGTCGTGGCCATGGTGACGGGAGGAGTTGAGGTTGGCGATGACGGAATGAGGTTGAGGTTGGCGAGACGTCGAGAGAGACGTATAATACGTGGTGCAGGCGGTGAAGTGCTGTGCTGGTATTGGTGCGCTGGAGGTTCTGACACAGCGCTTTGGGAGCGGGAGGCTATCAGTGGCTCTGCAGTGGTGCGACGGGTGCAGACGACGCTGACAGGCCAGCAGGACGCGTGCGGCTCCTTGGGGACGGTTGGGGACGTGTTGGTGGTGAGGGTGCGTGTCAATTGGTAGCTGACGTGCAGGCGATAAGAGACGAGGGCGGTGATACAACAGACGCCGGGGCCAACAGTCGACCGTGGTTTAGCAGGACATGATAGTGAATATAGGCGTGGTCGTGGTAGTGGTCGTATATGTGATATGCGTCGAGTGAGGCGGATATAGGTGTAGATAAGAAACAGCGGTGTCGCGTGAGTGCGGAGGAGACCTGGGGTGAGGCTCTGGGGACAGGATGAATTAAGTTGTCGCCCGCCAGCTGCTCCAGCGACCTCTTCCCAGCAGCGAACTGACGGATGGGCGGCCATGCCCGATGGGGGATGCCTGCACCCTTGGCGACCGACCGAACGACAGGGTATCATCGGGCTACGACCGGCCATTTGGAAGATTCTAATTGTAACATGGCCGTCGCATCGAGCTCGCTGTCTTCACCCTGCCCTCCCACTCTGCTTGAAAGTACTCGACAACTACAAGTCTCCCAGGCTGAGAATAGGCTCTATCTCCTACGCGAACGCCCCATTTTCCCCTTCCCCAGCGCAACCCTCATTCCTTCACCACGACCGTTGCGCCTCTTCTCGAGGCGGCCAGCCGTTGGGCCCCACTGTGCCCGTTTGGGCGTCCCTTATCTCTAACCAATCACGCCCTCTGCAAAAGAAAAGCAACGCCTCAACCTTCTCCGAGGACGGAACTGCTGCGTCAAGCGTGAACTCATTTCCTGGGGGCGTCGGTACAGTGATGACATAGCACTCACCCCATATCTTGATTGCGACACCCTGCGCAAACGCAAGAAGAGGCGGTGATGGACGTTGATAGACATGATAGACATACCTTGACATCACAGCTAAACGACAGGCAAGTGTGCCGCGAGAGGCGCCACACACCTACCATCCCGCTCAAGTACGGCCAGCTTGCAACAACTGGCGGGGCATTTGGCCACACTACTGTATTCAATTCAATGCACCTCATCCACTCTGTAGCCACGCGAGCAAGGCGCGCGCGACGCAATTATCCAATATATTATGCTCCACTCCAAGTGGACTTGAGGCTATTCGGCCAGAATTGGGATGGCGGGCGGGGGAGGTGGCGGGGTGGTGGTGGACGTCAATTCAATCTACCTACTTGGGTGTGTGAAGTCTGTAGGTTCGTGTTGGTGAGACCATCATGCCATACGTGCATCGTGAAGCGCTGCTGAGAATTGAGGCTATTCGGTCAGGGCTCACGATCTTGGATGATGTGGGACTGCCTAATGAGATCGTATCCACTTGGGCGTAGGCGTAGCGTCGTTGTTCGTATTGATGTTGTGCCCGTGCGTGCATCGTGAAGCGCTGCAGCGATCCCCGGTTGTGGTTTTGACATCGTACCAAACCTTGCGACGCTGACATCCGAAGACTCCCCACCGTATCCGCAACTTTCCTGAGAGAACCACAAGGAGCCTGAACAACCTTTCTGGTGACTGAACTCTGATTAGAGTCCTGGTAATGCCGAGTGTAATTACACGGTAAGTCCTCGTCACCTTTACAGTTACGAACGTCCAGGGATGAAGTAGCGAAGACGGATGCATCTTTCCATCAGCTATTCATCACTATTCGTCGTCCCAAGTCTTGCTAGATCTTGGCATCTCTTGCACCGAAGTAAAAGTGACGGTGAGAATGAAAGAGGACTTTCATGTGATGTTCGGCGGCGCTGTCTGGGTCGCTACGTCACAGCTACCCAGCGTCTTACCCATGCCCGTCCACCAACCGTACGATCTCTAACTTCCAAAAGCTACACCCACCACCCACCATCTCGCATTGCAATATCTTCGCTATGCCCTGCGGAAACATGTCCGGGCAGTATCTTCTGCGTTTAGAGTTCGACGTGGGTCTAATTCAACTACTCAAGAGCAAGTGCGAGGAGGACCTTACAGCCGCGACGCAAGAGCTCTCTTCGCTCAAACAGGAAACGAGGCATATCTTCGACTTCGAGAAGGAGAACAAGAAGACTACATTCACGAAAAAGATTGACGAACTCACGGCTAAGATTGTTCAGCTGGATGAGCAGCTGGCGAGCCTTGACGAGCAGATTCAGCGGCACAAAGAAGAACACAAACCTCGTCCTCCGCTGTCGCAGAGCGAGCTTGCGGAGAGGAAAGCACGAAATGAAGCGCATATGCGCGCTAGGTTGGCCAGGATCCGCTGATAGCTTCAGCAATTTGAGGTAGACGTTCCTGGGAGAGCAGAAGGAGCCTGGAAGTCTCGCAGCTGTTCATTGTAGAAACAATAAGACGGAATGGCTAATCTTGTCGTTGAACTAGTCTCAGCTTCAGAAATGAAGTCGAGATCGTAGACTAAGAGCTCACTAGTCTGAAGCGCAAATGCTCCCATCGGAATCATCCCCAAAGAGGCATTGAACAAGTGTCTTGACAGACAGTGGAAACCTCATCTCGCCTAGCAGGAGACGGCTTTCTAGTCGGTCCCCTGCATGTTCCTGAGGCGCACCGACCAGATCCTGCCGGATGGATTCAACCGGATAATTGGATTCATGGGGACGTTGCGCAATCATCCTTGGTGGGATTTGCCTCGCACGAAGTTCGCTCGAGCTTCTAAGATTGCACGGGTGTCGGTAGTTTCTTTTGACTACACCATGCGCAGGGGGAGTACGCGTAAGAGATGCAAGTTTGGCCGACCAATGTCTTGAGTTACGAGCCTTATGTTGTGACTTGAGCAAACATAGGCAGTCCAACTGCACAAGGCGCGAAAGCGTAGTTGGAGTACTCCTGCTAGATCCAGAGATAAGCGACTCCCTCCGTTGGAGTCTTGGAGACACCGGCCAGATTCGCCGAGACGAAGAAGCGCCCGTCTCATCCTGGTTCAAAGACCGAGCCGACCCACCCACCATCGTCGGGGATTCGCCTCACTAACACTGCGCCGCCGGCCACTGCAACCTCACGATACCGCCAGAACTTCGGATCACATGGGCACGCTCTTCCAATGCATTGATGAGAGATCCGCAGTCTATAACGCTGAGTTGCGCAACGGCCCACACGCATCGAAGGCTAACATGACTACGACTGAGATCTGCCGGGCAGATCAATGCAAGACATCACAGGATTTAGCCTATCCTGACGTCCTTATAGCCCTTGAAAGACGTCCAATGGCGGCTCCGGCGAATCTGTCCTTCCGACATCCACGAGCAACGGCAGCCTTGGCAACCCTTCGCCGGGACACGTCGATGAACTTTGTTTTCTGAACCGAGGCACGAACCGCCACGGGCTAGCAGACGTCAACAATGGCACGGCATGTGGCGCGGGGGAAGTTGCTTCATCTCTCGCAGTGGACACGGTTGGAAACTAAACAAAACGACGCCTGCGTCCTTAGCATGCCCGCCAGCTCCACCTTCAAGACCCTTTGATGGTCCACGCGCGACATCCAGGCTATCCCTGAACACAAACCAAACTACGTGGCAAGATGTCAACAACACTCCCTTCTGAGCCTGTTTCGCCGAAAGCTACTCCGCTGCCTCCGCTCCCAGCTGAGGATCCGCTCACGCCTCAACAATGGAAGACGCTACTTGCTATCACGGATGCCGTCATCCCAGCAATCAAGCCCATATCCACGGCGAAGACGCAGACTGAACTCGCCGCAACCGACACCGACTACTCGACTGCAGTCAGCAAGCTGAGGGCTTTAGCGCCCGGAAACGACCCTGATGCAGAGACAGCGGTGAAGGAGTATCTTGACGACTATGCGAGTCAGGATCCGGCGTTCCGAGCGGAGCTGCAGCGCGTCTTCGCCATGTACATGCCGCAGAACCAGAGAAAGGACCTGTGCATGGTGTTGAATGTCCTCAACACTCGGGCGGGGTCACTGGCTTTGACGGGCTATCTCACGCCAATCAGCGAGCAACCCGCCCATGTAAGGGAGTCGATTATCCAGGGCTGGGCTACGGCGCGGTTGGGACCGCTTCGCCAACTGCGCCGCTCGTTGGTGATTATCACTAAGCAGGCTTGGATCAAGACGTCGCCTTCGCTGAGACGTGTGATAGGCGCCCCACGCGTGCCTGTTGGTATGAGACCTGGGAAGGGCTTCGACTATGAGTTCATTCAGATACCTCCAGGTGACGAACCTGAGATTATTGAAACAGATGTGGTGGTCGTGGGTAGCGGATGTGGTGCTGGCGTGACGGCGAAGAACCTCGCTGAAGCCGGACATCGTGTGTTGATAGTAGAAAAGGCATATCACTGGACTCCAGACCACTTTCCCATGGCCGAACTGGATGGATGGCACCACCTCTTCATGAGCGGGTCATTCCTAACATCTGATGACAGTTCAGTGAGCGTAGTAGCAGGCCAGTCCCTCGGCGGCGGAGGAACAGTAAACTGGTCTGCCTCCCTCCAAACCCAAGGCTACGTCCGCCGCGAATGGGCAGCCCGCGGCCTCCCCTTCTTCACATCCGCCCAATTCCAAGAATCGCTCGATCGCGTCTGCGACCGAATGGGCGTCTCAGACAAAAACATCAAGCAGAACCGCAACAACGAGATCCTGCTCGAAGGCGCCAGGAAACTCGGCTGGAACGCTGCGCCTGTGCCTCAGAACACCGGCGGCCAGCAACACTACTGCGGCTACTGCAACTTTGGCTGCGGTTCCTGCGAAAAGCAGGGTCCGGTCGTATCGTTCCTCCCGGACGCCGCCCGCGCAGGAGCCAAATTCATCGAAGGCTTCCACGCGGAGAAAGTCGTCTTCTCCAACAAAAGTGGCAAGCGCGT